CGTGGATAATCAAGAGATACCTGAACGTACAGTGGCTGTATCCCTTGTTGAAGCTGGTTTTATGCCACACATGCAAACTGTGAATGCGTTCCTGGCAGCTGCCCAAAGACACCTGTGTTGTGATTCACGGATTATAAACAAGTTCGGGGGGGGGGGGGGGGGACCTTGCATACACGGGCATCCTATAACGTGTCCCGACATGTGTTTGTGTATTTAATTAGCGGTGCGGAAAGGCAACTGGTAGCTGCCAGGGCAAAACACATTTTTGGCACATTTGCAAATATGTAAATAAAACATTGCTTTGGGATGTGCCTCCACGTTTGCAGCGAGGCACTGATGCAAGTGGCTGGTTTGTATCAACGGATGTCGAACTTCTTTCGCACCGCACGTGGCCAACCGCGCTAAAACGCACAAACGTTTAGTTTTCGCATTGGAACATCTTCACGCGCTATCGTGATCGCTCGCTGTTACGGAACTGTCCTACGTGCGTATGTGTGTTGAACTTCGTTCGCACTGTACGTAGCCAACCACGCCAATCGCACAGAACTCATGCCTTAACGCTTTCAGTCCCAGGTTCGACTTTTGCGTGTCTCCCACCCCGTGGGTCGCGTGGATTTTTCTCCGTGCCCTCCGGTTTTTCCCTCCACGTTTAGAATCGGCGTGCGTTCAGATTATTTGGCTGCAACTGTAAATTTCCACGCGATAAGCCACCTGTGTCGAGGCCATCATGTATGATGGCCAAGCCGCTTCTGAAAAGAGCTACACAGCTCAGTGGGCCTTAGTGTAGTTTAGGTGCCAGCTCGACCAACCCCACACTGACCGGCGAGGTGAAGTATGGTCAAGCAACCCCCAGAGCCCACACGGCGTGGGGAACGTTTTCATCCAGCAGTGGATTGACAAAGTGGCGTTTGCCGCTTGTTTGCCGAAGTTTGCGGTCTTAATCCGGCAGTCCACCCCGGTTAATGCTGCAACGTGTATCGACCGTAAGATACCGCATGCTTCTCGCACAGCAGGCGTTAAAAGATGCCGTGACGTCGTTCGAGAGAGTGGACCATCGTGTGGCAGCAGTCACGGTCAAAAATTGAGTAAAGACTTAGCAAATGACTCAATGGGGATGCACACAGCATCATCGCTCCCTTCTATTAAACTACGCAGACTGTGTCTGTAAAATCTACCAGCGCCTTCCTGTGTGATTATATCCCTGTGCTATAAGAATGATAGCACGAATACCAATTGCACGTCATTATTATTAAAGTGAGATATATATATAAAACTTATTATGCAAAGCAGTCCGGGTGTAATCTCACTGCCTCGAGTTATTTCCCCCATAAGCCAATATTAAATTGTTACTAATCTTCTTTACTAATAATTAAATAACAAAGTGGAGTGTCAGCCCACTTCTGGATGAGCCATGGAACAGAGGTACACAACATCAGAATCGCATCCTGACAATCACACACTCAGGCCACTCTTTTATCGCTGCGGCTACCACGGCGACTATTCCCGTGAACGTCACTCGTGGAGTCCTCCACCAATGTTGAGGAGTCGGTCGAGCGACTCGCTCGCTCTCTCTCTCGCTCGCTCTCTATCTCGCTCGCTCTCTCGCTCACCTACCGACTCACTCGCTCGCTCGCTCAACCACTAACCCAACCTCCACACTGCAGGTCACAACAACACACTCTCATTCACCAAATCACTCACCTACTCACGCACCCAATCATCAACTCACTCACTCAACGACTCACCCACTCACGCACCCAATCATCAACTCACTCACTCACTCAACGACTCACCCACTCACTCACCCAATCATCAACTCACTCACTCACTGACTCACCCACTCACCCAATCATCAACTCACTCACTCAACGACTCACCCACTCACTCACCCAATCATCAACTCACTCACTCAACGACTCACCCACTCACTCACCCAATCATCAACTCACTCACTCACTCAACGACTCACCCACTCACTCACCCAATCATCAACTCACTCACTCACTCAACGACTCACGCACCCAATCATCAACTCACTCACTCAACGACTCACCCACTCACTCACCCAATCATCAACTCACTCACTCAACGACTCAGCCACTCACTCACCACACTGCAGGTCACCCGAACCTCTCTTTCAGTTTCTTCCCTTGCACTGCTCCACTTTTGAATTTCCTCCCACGGTCCTATTGCCAAGCACTTTTAAAAAACCTTTCTTAATTAAAAGAGTCACGTCAACTTTTTTTTTATCTGTTACAGCTTTGGTAGTGCTGTGTAATGCTGGCCACATGATGTGTTGTGGCCTTTGCTCACTGCGTAGCAATCGCATTTACCAGATAATGACAATCACAAGATGATCCACTCACACCTGCACACACACACACCAACTCGTACCGCCAAACTTAAATATTTACATACCCGCACAGAGACACAAGATCTATTATTGTACAGCCTTGGCAAAACCACACCTAGACGCCTTTGTCTCCACAGTACTCACGTTCACACACCGGTTATGACAACGCTTGGGAATTATATCCATGCCTGGGAATCGAAGTTAGGTTTGCTGGGTTTAAAATAGGTGGACACACACAGATTCCACCGTAAAGTCATCCGGGGCTGTTGGGGAAAGAGCTGTCAGCAGGCGCCCATGAAGGTTAACATGCCGACACAACCATCACAGCAACACACACACACCTACCCTACTGCACACAACACAAACACCTACACACACACACTACTGCACACAACACAAACACCTACACACACACACCTACACTAAACACAAACACCTACACACATACATCTGCACTACTGCACACAACACAAACACATACACACACACCTGCGCTACTTCACCCAACACAAACACCTACACAAACACACCTACACTACTGCACACAACACAAACACCTACACACACACCTGCACTACTGCACACAACACAAACACCTACACACCTACACTACTGCACTAAACACAAACACCTACACACACATACACTACTGCACACAACACAAACACCTACACACACCTGCACTACTGCACACAACACAAACACCTACACACCTGCGCTACTTCACCCAACACAAACACCTACACAAAAACACCTACACTACTGCACACAACACAAACACCTACACACACACCTGCACACAACACAAACACCTACACACACACCTACACACACACCTACACTACTGCACACAACACAAAGATCCCCCATATAGCCTTAACAGACTGTAGGGGCAAGTGCTGTTTGCGAGCACCTATGAAGGCCGGAACGGTACACGAGGGGGTGGGTGGCCAGCACCACGCCCGACCGCCTTTGTCTCCCTAGTGGCAATGTTTACACACCGCACCAGGTACTCATTTGAGGCTGAGTTGACCTAGGGGAGGCCCAGGACCGGTTCAGATATTCGTCACCGGTGTTGGCCGTGAGCGGGAATCGAACTCGGATCGCCAGGTTCATAGCGCAGTGCGCTAACCGCTGCACCACCGCTCCCTTACACACACACCTCACCACTAGCACACATCACACACACCTCACCATTACCACACATCACTCACGCCTCACCACTCCCACACACCTCACCACTAGCACACATCACACACACACACCTCACCACTCCACACACACAGCTCACCACTACCACACTCCACACACCTCACCACTAGCACACACCTCACCACTAGCACACATCACCCACACACCTCACCACTACCACACATCACCCACACACCTCACCACTCCACACACCTCACCACTAGCACACATCACCCACACACCTCACCACTAGTACACATCACCCACACACCTCACCACTAGTACACATCACCCACACGCCTCACCACTACCACACATTACCCACACACCTCACCACTACCACACTCCACACACACACACCTCACCACTCCACACACATCACCACTAGCACACATCACACACACCTCACCACTACCACACTCCACACACACACCTCACCACTAGCACACATAACCCACACACCTCACCACTAGCACACATCACCCACACACCTCACCACTCCACACACCTCACCACTCCACACACCTCACCACTAGCACACACACACCTCACCACTAGCACACATCACCCACACACCTCACCACTAGCACACATCACCCACACACCTCACCACTAGCACACATCACACACACACCTCACCACTAGCACACATCACCCACACATCTCACCACTAGCACACATCACCCACACACCTCACCACTACCACACTCCACACACACCTCATCACTAGCACACATCACCCACACACCTCACCACTAGCACACATCACCCACACGCCTCACCACTACCACACTCCACACACCTCACCACTCCACACACTCCACACACCTCACCACTAGCACACATCACACACACCTCACCACTCCACACACACAGCTCACCACTACCACACTCCACACACCTCACCACTAGCACACATATCTCACCACTCCACACCCACACACCTCACCACTACCACACCCACACACCTCACCACTACCACACTCCACCCACACACCTCACCACTACTACACATTACCCACACACCTCACCACTACCACACTCCACGCCCACTTCACTCACAGCAGCCGCGCCATTCCTCGACCCAAAAGTGGCGGCGGTGACGTCACAACGGCGTTGGTGCCAGGCTAGGTGCACTTTGAGGCCATCACGCGAAGTGTCAAATTTGGGTTCGCTGGCAGGTCGCACGGGACAGACCAAGGTGCGATGGGTTAAATGAGGTGAGTGGCAGGCAGAGGGACGAACTGCGCTCACCACTAAGCCACCAACACACCCTCACCACAACCCCTCACCACCACACACAATGTAACTTGCAGCGTTCGCCAGAATGGGCCCTATTCATGGCTGCGTTAAGGCGCCGAGAGCCTGCCAATCCCGCTCTCCGTTGCCGTCTCGTTCTCCTCACCCACGCCTCGCTCTCCTCACCACCACCACCACCGCACCTCTTTCTCCTCACCTCGTCTCCTCCGGCCACCTCGTCCGACGCGCTGTCGCACCCCGCCTGTCAATCAACCGTGACGTCACCGCGCCTAATATAACAAGCCCCGCCCACGGGGGAGGGGGCGGAGCCGAAGGGAATTTTTTTGGGGAGGAGGGCGACGCCCATTTGAGTGACGTCATGTCCGCCGCGTTAGTAATTTTTAAACAAATTACTAGAGTCGATGCCACTTGTGTGTAAGGCAGTGGTGAACGGATCGCAATTAATACAAACAAAAATTAAACTCAGCACGTTCCCTCAGTAATAAAAAAAATCAATGCGTTCGTCGGTTGGATATGCAGTATGTAAATGTTGACCCCTCCCTCTCTGATCTAATGACGTCACGTCCGCGAGGTTGCGAGTGAAGGCTCCGCCGATCTAATGATGTCACCAACATCGCTACAATTAATCAAAACTCAACACATTCGTTAATTACACAGCGCGACCGTCAAAACTCTCTCGCTCTATGTATATAATATGGAACGTTTCGGGCAATGGACCTTCTTTCATAGCACATTAATAAAGAGGCAAACGAGTGAATTGAGAGTTGGAGTTTTTTTACACTATGGAAGCTGATAAGAATTCCATACAAAAGTGTTTTCTGATGTTATATGAATCCGAAAAGCTTAATAGCTCATCGGATTCCTCTAGTATTAAATAAATATAAATCTGGATCAAAAGCCCATAATTTTAGTGACGTCACCGCTAACTTGCTATGACGTCACCCTCATTACGAGGGGTGTCGCGGGGTGGACGCTGATTTTAAACGTCATCATCAAGCGCCCTTCGAACCCGCCCACTTTAACGTCACAAGAGACGACTCACCCCCCCCCCCCGTGACGTCATGTATTTTTGTGTGCGTATGGGGGGCTCGCTTTATCGAATACCTGCTGTGTGACGTCACAAATGTCACCCGAACTCCGTTGGGCGGTCCGTTGGTTGTGTTTAAATGGGAAACGCGAATTGTTCCGCGATGAATTATTGGGGCCTCACGAGTGAACTGCGAAGTGGGTTAAATCGCGTCCATATAAACGTGTCGTTAAACCCGCCACCACCCGACACGGCCAATAACGTCACATATTTACGCGATCGAACTCAAATAAACCTTTTTCTACCTACGTGACTTTACCGAAAGAACCAAAATATGGACTCCTACAGTCACCAACGCTTCAAATCGACATAAAATAAACCTGTATTATGGATGATATTGGTCAAGAATGCCTACACGTGTTAAACTGGGAAGTTGGAGGTTAATGGCACTCCATACCTGTCAACCCCTTATCAGTGCCCTACCTTATTACAGACCAATTCAGACCTTATTGGTCACCCCGTGCCCCTTATAAATCTCAACGTTCATCCTACAAAGTCCCATCACAAGGGGGAAACACAAATAGACATTTTTTTTGTTAGTTTAACACGAAGGCTTTCGCGACCGATATCATCCATAATAGTTTTTGCTGGGTTAGATCGTGTAAATATAAATGTCGTAAAACCCGCCACGATCCGATGCAACCAATTAATAAGGTTTGTCACGTAAACAGACCATGCCAGTTCGTTACTAGTACAACTTGTTTTTATTTTACCAGCTCAGGCCCCACTGAGCTACAGTGAGGGAAAAAAGTATTTGATCCCCTGCTGATTTTGTACGTTTACCCACTGACAAAGAAATTATCAGTCTATAATTTTAATGGTAGGTTTATTTGAACAGTGAGAGACAGAATAACAACAAAAAAATCCAGAAAAACGCATGTCAAAAATGTTATAAATTGATTTGCATTTTAATGAGGGAAATAAGTATTTGATCCCTCTGCAAAATATGACTTAGTACTTGGTGGCAAAACCCTTGTTGGCAATCACAGAGGTCACACGTTTCTTGTAGTTGGCCACCAGGTTTGCACACATCTCAGGAGGGATTTTGTCCCACTCCTCTTTGCAGATCTTCTCCAAGTCATTAAGGTTTCGAGGCTGACGTTTGCAACTCGAACCTTCAGCTCCCTCCACAGATTTTCTATGCGATTAAGGTCTGGAGACTGGCTAGGCCACTCCAGGGCCTTAATGTGCTTCTTCTTGAGCCACTCCTTTGTTGCCTTGGCCGTGTGTTTTGGGTCATTGTCATGCTGGAATACCCATCCACGACCCATTTTCAATGCCCTGGCTGAGGGAAGGTTCTCACCCAAGATTTGACGGTACATGGCCCCGTCCATCGTCCCTTTGATGCGGTGAAGTTGTCCTGTCCCCTTAGCAGTAAAACACCCCCAAAGCATAATGTTTCCACCTCTATGTTTGACGGTGGGGATGGTGTTCTTGGGGTCATAGGCAGCATTCCTCCTCCTCCAAACACGGCGAGTTGAGTTGATGCCAAATAACTCCATTTTGGTCTCATCTGACCACAACACTTTCACCCAGTTGTCCTCTGAATCAATTAGATGTTCATTGGCAAACTTCAGACGGGCATGTACATGTGTTTTCTTGAGCAGGGGGACCTTGCGGGCGCTGCAGGATTACAATCCTTCACGGCGTAGTGTGTTGTTTTCTTGGTGACTATGGTCCCAGCTGCCTTGAGATCATTGACAAGATCATCCCGTGTAGTTCTGGGCTGTTTCCTCACCGTTCTCATGATCATTGCAACTCCACGAGGTGAGATCTTGCATGGAGCCCCAGGCCGAGGGAGATTGACAGTTCTTTTGTGTTTCTTCCATTTGCGAATAATCCCACCAACTGTTGTCACCTTCTCACCAAGCTGCTTGGCAATGGTCTTGTAGCCCATTCCAGCCTTGTGTAGGTCTACAATCTTGTCCCTGACATCCTTGGAGAGCTCTTTGGTCTTGGCCATGGTGGAGAGTTTGGAATCTGATTGATTGCTTCTGTGGACAAGTGTCTTTTATACAGGTAACAAGCTGATATTAGGAGCACTCCCTTTAAGAGTGTGGTCCTAATCTCAGCTCGTTACCTGTATAAAAGACACCTGGGAGCCAGAAATCTTTCTGATTGAGAGGTCAAATACTTATTTCTCTCATTAAAATGCAAATCAATTTATAACATTTTTTACATGCGCTTTTTTATTTTTTTGTTGTTATTCTGTCTCCCACTGTTCAAATAAACCTACCATTAAAATTATAGACTGATCATTTCTTTGTCAGTGGGCAAACGTACAAAATCAGCAGGGGATCAAATACTTTTTTCCCTCACTGTATGTAGCTCTTTCAGAAGCGACCTGACCAGACATTATAGCCCATCGAAGTGGCTTACCATCACGTGGAAGTTCATAGCGTCCAGCGAATTGTTCCGCAATTCTTGGGTCTCGGAATGAGCCGGGGAGTGGAGGTTAATGGGACTCTACTATAAACTATTTTTTATTTTACCAGGTAAGGCCTACTGAGCTGCTATGTAGCACTTTTTCAAAAGTGACCTGGCCATCACAAATGATAGATCAACTAAGCGGCTTTATCATCGCGTGGAAGTTTATTGCTACCAAATGCTCAAAACGTGCTTATAGAATGTGGAGGGGAAAAACTACGGGGAGAGAGAGAACATGCAAAACTCCAAATATACAGCAGGCAGGATCGGACCCACGACCTCCTACATACCAGGCGAGATAGGTAACATCTCGCCACCGAGGCTGGAGGGTTGGGCGCCTTCGTTAGACGGCTACAACCACATTTGGAAACGTGATTTGTAACCTTAATCCTGACCCGTCGTGTATCGATGCTCCAATGTGAACTTACCATGGTACTGAGGGTCTCCTACAGCTGCATGTTGTTTTATTGGTGTGGTCTGGGACTGTTGTGGTTAATGTTTTGCTGCCTTGCCCCAAGCTTGCATTTAGTGTTAAGAAATCGGCAGGAATTTCCGTACGCTTTATTTATTGTAGTGACATACTCAAGATTGTAGTGACCTGTTTACCTTTGGACATCTGTGAAACATAGCTGCATAGCTCGTAGGACTTCTCCAGGATAATTATTCTGATTCTACCGCAGTGCGAAACCTTACAACTCGCCACCACCCCATCCTGTCTTTCTCCCCAAGCCCTTATTATATTCAACAGTGACACTCTCTTTATCTACAGCACTGTTTTATTACAACTTTGATAGTGCTGTGTCGCTGGCCGCTTTACGTTTGGGTGAGGGGGGCTCAATAAATGTGTTGAATAAAACCAAGTCCATGCCCTCTGCTGCTAATGAATTTTGAGGCATTCATCCATCAGTGGATTGATCACGGCTAGCGACGATACCACAAAGATGAAGACGGGATAAGAGACCATCCATAGAAGAGGTTGTTTGGGTTAGATCACGCTAAAATATAAATGTGTTGTTAAACCCGCCACCACCCGTGCCTACCTTATTGCAGACCAATTCAGACCTTATTGGTCACCCCGTGCCCTTATAAATCTCAACATTCATCCTACAAAGTCCCATCACAAGGGAGAAACAGACAAATAGATACAAAAAAATTGTGCCCGTATTTAGACGGCTGTACGCCGTATGGACCTGAAAACTCAATTTCTCCCGTACATGAATACGGATAAACCGTATGGGTTGACAGGTATGTGACGCAGCCAATTAGTAAGGTTTGTCACGTAAACAAAACGTGCCAAATTCGTTACTAGTTCAGCACACCGGTGTGTTGGAGAGTACACCTACAACATTTACAATTCGAGTACGACATTTCAGCCAGTAATTACAACCAGCATCATCAGGCAACAGCCAGAGTTGTGGAGAAATCATCCTCCTGCTTGGATCTTAAATAGACGGGGGATAAATATGATGTCGTCACTTGTGAGCCTATCAGGTGCGAAGACCAGAGGGGGGGGGGGGGGTTAATGTATCATAAAAGCCCGGCGTTCCGTTTGTCCGTCAACTAAATTATAAGAGCCTTTCAGGAGGCCTGGATCAAAAAGTTAAAGAAAGTGGACCCCCCCCCCTCACCAAGATGTGGGAGTAAAAAGTTGATTCAACAGGTTTCCGAAAATTGTCGAAACCCCCCTCCGCCAAAAAACTAAATGTATTTCGAAGGCATATATACCTACACACCCTACATACAATAGAGTCAGTAGTATCTACTGACGACATCACATTTATCCCCCGTTGATTTAAGTAGTATCTCCTGACTCTATAGTAGTTACTGCACACATTGCGGTGGGGGGGAAGAGAACAGCAGTGTGGGCGACGGGTGAGGCGCAAAGTGCTGAGAAGCCCTCCACAGGAGCTAGAACTTCGCAGAAATCCTACCTCGTGCAAATTACAGTTTAGATTATATTACCTATAATAATGGAGTGACAGCACAGAGCAATGGAGCGTTCCCACTATGGCTGGGGAAGCTGTTCTCTCGTGCTGTGTTAGGGGACAAAGCTTGGGGAGCTTGAAGAGCTGAATGCAATTAAAAATAACTCGCAAAACAAACACCGCTTGTGAAAGGCTCAACGCAGAAGATACCTGGGTTTGATCTCCCACGAAGCTCATGGTCCACCCTAAACTGCATCGGCACAAACCACGGCAGTAGATGCAGATACTTAATGATGCACAAATAAAAAATAAAAAAAAACTCTCCAGTAGTATGCGAGTGTGGTCATCCAGAACAGACCATACAATGTGTAACGATGCAATGCACCGATCCACAATCACAAAGGAGACATCACAGCCATGATACACTCCACTTGCGCCTGACTTGGTTGTCTGGCTTGGCCACCTCAATGTGAGATTGTAGACGTTGTTCTGCAGCTGCAACAGCCGTACGACATGAACAAATAAGGGGACAAAGGTCCCTTGTGTTGTTACCCTGCGGCACACACACACACACGGGCCGTGTTTGTAGAGGGCACCCTCGCCCACCACTTTGCGAAATGGCAACGTGCCCCAATAAACATTTTCTGGTTCAGATTCCCAAAAAATCCGGCGAACTTTTATTGGGCTCTCTGTGGAAACAGCGGCGAGGCAGCGGGAAGCATCGCCGGTTAACGTGCCAACGTTAGTCCAACGTAGCCCCAACGTTGCCCCAACGTTGGACCTTGACCGGGATTGTGGCATCGCGACAAAGCGGGCTGGCGCAGCTGGTAAGAACTCGTGCCTCACGACAAGCAGGGCCCCAGGTTCGATCCACGACCGCAGGTGCCCTTCTGCATGGGATTTGTCGAGGGGGACGACTTTTTAATTCGCAAGGCGAAGCGGAGAATCACATGCGTCGACGTCGCTACCACGTCGCGTATTTTTTGACGCCCGTTTACGGCGCGGTTCATTTGACAAAACGACCCAAGAGCTCCACGGGGTGTTGGGAGGGAGTGGAGTCGTTCCACTTCGGATATCGAATCATAACCGCTTTTTGTGTGTTAAGTTTGTTGTCCCTCCCCCGCACCTCCGATTAGCACGGTTGGCTTCGTACGGCACGAAATAAATTCAACATACCAGATTTCGACAAAACGTCGAAATGAGAATTCCGTCATTTGTGATTGACACGCGTTCCCGTTCAACGAAGCGTGGAGAGATGCCCGCTTGGGATTCCATGGAGAGAGGAGCGAGCGGATAAGAGAATGTACACAGGTTAGAGACGTCGCCGCATTGATGGAGAGCGAAGAAGAGGCTTCTTTTACCCTTTTCTGGCAAGAATACAGGTGGTGTTAAGATATTCAAACACCAACTGAACACACATATTGCAAAGCATCGAGTCTGCATTCATCACACATACTTGTGCTAAAACACGGAAACAAATGTGCTTTTATAATGTGCGAATTGTTCTTGATACCGTTGGCCTTCACCACAAGCCTATTCTATGGCGTTGTCTCACCGTTACTATAGAGCAAAGGACGCGAAAAGGCGAACAGTACAATGACAAATTTTGATTTAAAGCTTTCGTGACTGCAGGGATTCATATTCTTGGTTCTTTCGATAAAGTCACGTAGAAGGGAAACAATAAAATAATAAAAATATAAAAAATAACATTCTCACGACGTTTCGACTGCAACACAAGCAATCATCATTTTATTGTTTCCCTTCTAGTTGACTATCCGAAAGAACCAAGAATATGAATCCCTGCAGTCACGAAAGCTTTAAATCAAAAGTTAATAGGTGTCTATTTGGTGTTTGAACATCTTAACTCCTCACTGTATTATCACCAAAAAGCCTTGTATAATTTTTTGTTCATCATCATCTTGTACAGCTGCCACAGAGTGTGCTGTAGACGCACAATCACGTTGACTGTTAACAACCCCTGTGACCAACGCAGCCTGCCAAGGCCTCCATCCCAGCATTGAAATTGACAACGGGGCAATACATTTATATTACAGCCCATTGACTTGTGTGAAAGGTGGTGCGCGTGTTCTTCTGGGGCAGCATCATCATCGCGAGCAGTGCAGTGGGGGCTTGGGCAGGAGACGCGATGGCCCGAGGGGCAGACAAAGCAGAGAGCACGCGTGGAGGGGGGAATGGACGTCCAACCGAGGAGATGGAGCTATGAAATCAGCCCGTGTGGCGTGCAGACGACGCGGTGGGTGGACGGTTGCCGTCGCAGGACCGTGAGCGATGGCGGCGGCGGCGGCGGCGGCTTGGGGAGGCGTTCATCCAGCAGCGGACTCATCATGGCTGATGATGATGATGAATCAACCCAAGCCACGCGAGCCTCCTCAGTCTTTACACCCTCCACACTCGACACGTGTTGTCTTTGCTGCCTGCGAGACACCGCACCGCGCGCGCCAAAACACCGCGGGCGTTCACACGCGTCTTTGACGGAACGTGTGCGACGACACGTTTGACGATGTGTGCTAGTGGGCGTCATGTGGATGTGGTTAGCGCCCTGCGCTACCTACGAACTCGGCAACCAGAGTTCAATTCCCGCTCGCGACCAAATAGCAGTGGGGGAATATCTGAATCGGTCGTGGGCCTCCCCTAGGTCCACTGAGCCACAGTGGCGAGATGTTAACTCCCTCGCCTGGTGCGCAGGAGGTTATGTGTTCGATCCCGACCCTGACGCCTGTATATTTACAGTTTGCGTGTCTCTCTCTTCTGAAGAAGAGCTATGTATAGCTCAGTGGGCCTTACATGGTAAAATAAAAAAAAATAGCTTAAAGTTCGGTTTCCAAGTTTAAACGAGTGTATGGTGTAGTGTGCAAACATCGGCAGGGGGCGAGACGAAGCCGGCCGCGAGCGGCGTTCGCCGCCGGCTCCCTTCGTGCGCCACAAGCGGCGCCTGCCCCCAAACGCGCCGGCAGTGGGGGGCGGAATCTTTAAGCTTCTGTGTGCGTACCGGTGATGATGGAGTCCCCCTCGTAGTTGAAGGCGCAGGAGAAGATCTCCTCCGTGTGCCCGTCGAGCACCTGGAGGCAGCGTCCGGACCGCGGCTCCCACAGCCTCGCCGTCTTGTCCGAGCTCGCCGTGAGCACGCGGGTGGCCTGAGCGTTGAAGCACACCTGGGGCCCCCCGGCAGGGACACCACCGGAGCTCAAACCACCCAACGGCGAGCAAGGCTTCTTACCCTTACCTTTCCTATACAGTGGTCCCACAGCTTACGATGCCATCGTTGAACGATATTCAGATTAACGATCAGCCCCCCCATGGGTCCCATTGTTTCTATAAAAGCAAATTTTTCCGATTAACGTTATTGTTCACGATATCGCGCGGCCGCCAATTTCAGCCAATCAGAGTGCTCCTAAGTGGGCTCAGCAGACCTCAGCCAATCAGCGACAGCCATTCGTGAGCGTTTTGAGAGCAACTGTTTTTCGGGTAAAAAAGGTCAGCCTCCGATCGTCTTCGAACAAATTAAGCCATTAACAAGTATTTCCTATATTCGATTACCGATAATTTCAATCGACGATGGTTTTCGTGGAACCAATTAGTATCGTTAACCGACTGGACCACAGTACTTTGCACCCGTGTTTTTGTGCTGTTTGTTGCTGCAACATTCACAGATGCCCCGCGTTGGGCATCTGTGAAAAAAGAGCTTCATAGCTCATCGGATTCCTCCTCCAATCGAAATAAAGATTCAGAGTTCTTGCTGCACTAACCCCCTCCCCCACACCCTTCGCCCACAACCTATGAACATCTGGCACATTTTCGCGCTCACCCATCCAAACGCTATCCAGGCTCAACCCTCGCTTCGCTTGCGAGACCGGGGCGAGGCTGGGACGCACGGCGTTGGCTGCGACCACTGCCAACGCGGATCCACGAGTTTTGATTCGTTTCGGGACCCCTACCTTGGAAATCTCCCCGTCGTGCCCCTCCAGTTTGGCGATACAGGTTCGCTCTGCGGTGCTGTACACCCGTGCCGTGCCTGCGCGACAGCACAACACGCGACGGCGTCGCACAAGGCACGTGGCGGACGACGTACGACACACGACATGCAACCTCCGATCGGCATGGTCGGCTACGTCCGGTGGGAAAGAAGTTCAACGTACACACGCGCATGCATGCGGCCCAGGGTGCGCGGAACACGACGCACGGCACGGGACGCACGGCACGGGACGCGGTGGTGGTTTTGTGGTGGTTGTGTGGTGGGGTTGCGGTGGCGGTTGTGTTGGTGGTGGCGGCTTCACCATCGGTGGAGGCGGTGGCCACCAGCTGCCCCGTGAGGTCAAAGCTCACGTCCAGCACCTCGTCCTCGTGGCCAGCCAGCGTGGCCACGCAGCGTCCGCTTCTCGAGTCCCACAGCTACAAAGACAAAGACCCCCCCCCCCGTATAGCCTTCAACAGACTGTTGGGCCAAGTGCTGCGAGCGGGTAGCACCTACGAAGGCCGGGACGGCACACGAGGTTGTGGGTGGCCAGCACCACACCCGGCCGCCTTTGTCTCCCCAGTGGCGATGCTTACACATCGCACCAGGTACTCATCTCAGGCTGAGTTGACCTAGGGGAGGTCCAGGACCAGTTCAGATAATCGTCACAGGTGTTTGACTGCGCCACAGCTCCCCATAAAAGCACACACGCATAAGCATATGTACACAGACACACATAAATGGATAGACGCGCAGAGGCATGCACACACGCGGGCACATACAGGCACACAGACATGGGCACGCACGGGGTAGACACGCATTGGCATGCACACACACGGTTACACACAGGCACACAGACATGGGTATGCACGGGGTAGACACGCATGGGCATGCACACACACGGTTACACACAGGTACACACAGGCACACAGACATGGGTATGCACGGGGTAGACACGCATGGGCATGCACACACACGCGGTTACACACAGGTACACACAGGCACACAGACATGGGTACGCACGGGGTACGCGGGCAACACACGCGCGCACCTTGCACGTCTTGTCCATGGAGCCGGTAGCGATGAGCGAAGAGTCCCAGTTGAATTGCGTGCTGCTGATCTCCCCCCTGTGCCCGATCAGAGCGTGGCTCCTCCTGTGCCCATCGCACAGCAAAGCCACAGTCACACAGCAGGAGTGCGAGCATACACACTGGCTCCGTCGGTCCGTCCGTCCGTCAGTCCGTCCGTACGTTCATCCGTCCGTCCGTCCGTCCCTCGGTCCATCCGTCTGCTCATCCGTGTGTATGTGACCCGGGGCTCACGACAACTCCCGTAAAGACGATCCGATGTGAACGAAACGTTATTGTAAAATCGCGTCGCTACTGGGGACCTCCCCTCCGCCCTCCCCCGATGACGTCATCACGTGCAACGGCCAATGGGCAACAACGGTGACAGCACGGCAGCCGAAGGAGGGAGCGCCCCCCCCCCCCCCCCGCCTGCCGCCCAGCGAAGAGGACGTTCACCGCGGCGTGCCGTCGCATGGCCGCGAGCCCGGCGACGGTGAGGGGAGAGGCCTTCATCCAGCAGTGGAGAGGCCGTGGCTGAAGTTGAGAGCGGGGGGGAGGTGGGGGGGGGGGTGGTTTACCTGCCCGTGCTGGCGTCCCACACGGACACCGTGTGGTCGAAGGAGCCGGTGATCAGCTGATCTCCCGTCGTGTTGAAGCCCAGCGAGATGATTTCCGCAGTGTGTCCCTGTGCACACACATAAAAAAAACATATACAGAATTCATACGCGTGGATTTTGATTCATAAGACTCATTTGCGTAAGGCCACGTCGAATGATCTGACCAAGTTTGTATTGTTAGACCCTCCACCACCTGACACACCCAAACGGCACGACAAGCATTTAATGAAATGTCGGTTGTTATTGTCTAGGCTCAACTCGCCACTCACTCACCTACCAACTCACACACACTAACTTACCCATCCGCTTACACACTCACCCGCACTCACTCACTCACTCACCTACCAACTCACCCACTCACCCGCTGACTCACTCATCGACCAACTCAAACACCCACACACTCACCTACCAACTCACACACCCACTTAGACACTCACACTCACCCACACTCACTCACCTACCAACTCACCCACTCACTGACTCACCCACTCACATACTCACCCGCTCACTCACTCACTTACCCACTCACCCACTCACACACTCACCTGTACTCAACTCACTCACCTACCAACTGGCCCACCTCACTCATCCACCCATTCACTCACCCATCAGCCCATCTCTTCTCGAGCCCGTTGCTGTGTGCATTTATCCCCCCTCTATCCGGCAAAAACAGAAGCTGCTTGGGCATGGGGTGGCTGGGCATGCGAGCTGCATGACAGCCTGCCCAATGCCTGGCTGCTGATGCGGTGAGCCGTGAGCCATGCGTACGGTGAGCGTGGCTGCCTCCGTGCCGGCCTGCACGTCCCAGAGTCGTGCCGTTGCGTCCATGCTACCGGTGGCCACCAGCGTGCTGGCTGGGTTAAACGCCAGGCACACCTGTAGAGAATGGGGGGAGAGCAAGAGATAAGCCAACCCCAACATCACCACCACCACCATCACCACCGTGATCATCAGCATCATTACCACCACCACCACCAACACCATCATCACCATCACCATGATCGTCAGCATAATTACCACCATCGCCATCACCGTGACCATCAGCGTCATTACCACCAACACCATCACCACCATGATCGTCAGCATCATTACCACCACGACGATGATAATCAGAAATATCACCACCACCATCATCAACACCCTTACCATGATCATCACCGCCATCCTCGCCATCGCCCTCCTCATCCCGCAACCCCCCACTAGCGATCTCAGCCGAGTGCCCCCCTCCACACCCCTCCCCCCCACTCACGATCTCGGCCGAGTGCCCCCCTCCACACCCCTCCCCCCCACTCACGATCTCGGCCGAGTGCCCCACTCCACACCCCTCCCCCCCACTCACGATCTCGGCCGAGTGCCCGCGTAGCGTGTGGCAGCACTGCCCACTCTGCGCACTCCACAGTTTGCACGTCTTGTCAAACGACCCCGTCGCGATCTTATCCCTGTGGGGTCAAGGGGGGGAGGGGGAGGGGAGGCAGGGGTCACAGGGAAGTAGGGGGGGTTACGACACATAGTGGGGGCAGCGGGGGGGGGGTCAAATGAGAAGTGGGGGAATGGGGATACAAGTCTACTAAGAGAGCTGAGACAGCTGTGAGCAAGCTGTGTGTGTGTGTGAGAGCTGTGTGTGTGTGAGAGCTGTGTGTGTGTGAGAGCTGTGTGTGAGAGAGCTGTGTGTGTGTGAGCGAGCTGTGTGTGAGAGAGAGCTGTGTGTGTGTGTGAGGGCTGTGTGTGAGAGAGCTGTGTGTGTGTGTGAGAGAGCTGTGTGTGTGTGTGAGAGCTGTGTGTGAGAGAGCTGTGTGTGTGAGAGAGTTGTGTGTGTGAGAGAGAGCTGTGTGTGTGAGAGAGAGCTGTGTGTGTGAGAGAGAGCTGTGTGTGTGTGTGAGAGAGAGAGCTGTGTGTGTGTGAGCGAGCTGTGTGTGTGTGTGAGAGAGAGCTGTGTGTGTGTGAGAGAGTTGTGTGTGTGTGAGAGAGCTGTGTGTGTGTGAGAGAGTTGTGTGTGTGTGAGAGAGCTGTGTGTGTGAGAGAGAGCTGTGTGTGTGTGAGCGAGCTGTGTGTGTGAGGGAGAGCTGTGTGTGTGTGTGTGTGGGAGAGAGCTGTGTGTGTGAGAGAGCTGTGTGTGTGAGAGAGCTGTGTGTGTGTGTGAGAGTGAGCTGTGTGTGTGATAGAGCTGTGTGTGTGAGAGAGCTGTGTGTGAGAGAGAGCTGTGTGTGTGAGAGAGCTGTGTGTGTGAGAGAGAGCTGTGTGTGTGTGAGCGAGCTGTGTGTGTGAGAGAGAGCTGTGTGTGTGTGTGAGAGAGAGCTGTGTGTGTGAGCGAGCTGTGTGTGTGAGAGAGAGCTGTGTGTGTGTGTGAGAGAGAGCTGTGTGTGTGAGAGAGAGCTGTGTGTGTGAGAGAGCTGTGTGTGTGAGTGAGAGCGCTGTGTGTGTGTGAGAGCTGTGTGTGAGAGAGCTGTGTGTGTGTGTGAGAGAGCTGTGTGTGTGTGAGAGCTGTGTGTGTGAGAGAGAGCTGTGTGTGTGTGTGAGAGAGAGCTGTGTGTGTGAGAGAGAGCTGTGTGTGTGAGCGAGCTGTGTGTGTGAGAGAGAGTTGTGTGTGTGTGTGTGAGAGAGAGCTGTGTGTGTGAGAGAGAGCTGTGTGTGTGAGAGAGCTGTGTGTGTGAGAGAGCTGTGTGTGTGTGTGAGAGCGCTGTGTGTGTGTGTGTGAGAGAGCTGTGTGTGAGAGAGCTGTGTGTGTGTGAGAGAGCTGTGTGTGTGTGAGAGAGCTGTGTGTGAGAGAGCTGTGTGTGTGAGAGAGCTGTGTGTGTGTGAGAGAGAGCTATGTGCGTGTGAGAGAGCTGTGTGTGTGTGTGTGAGAGAGAGCTGTGTGCGTGTGAGAGAGTTGTGTGTGTGTGAGAGAGAGCTGTGTGAGAGAGCTGTGTGTGTGAGAGATCTGTGTGTGTGTGTGAGAGCGCTGTGTGTGTGTGTGTGAGAGAGCTGTGTGTGTGTGAGAGAGCTGTGTGTGTGAGAGAGCTGTGTGTGAGAGAGCTGTGTGAGAGGGCTGTGTGTGTGTGTGAGCGAGCTGTGTGTGTGAGAGAGAGTTGTGTGTGTGAGAGAGAGCTGTGTGTGTGAGAGAGCTGTGTGTGAGAGAGCTGTGTGTGTGTGTGAGAGAGAGCTGTGTGTGTGAGAGAGCTGTGTGCGTGTGAGAGCTGTGTGTGAGAGAGCTGTGTGTGTGTGTGTGAGAGAGAGCTGTGTGCGTGTCAGAGATTTGTGTGTGTGTGAGAGAGCTGTGTGTGTGTGCGAGCGAGCTGTGTGTGTGCGAGCGAGCTGTGTGTGTGAGAGCTGTGTGTGTGTGTGAGAGAGAGCTGTGTGTGTGAGAGAGCTGTGTGAGAGAGCTGTGTGCGTGTGAGAGCGCTGTGTGTGTGTGTGTGAGAGAGCTGTGTGTGTGTGTGTGAGAGAGCTGTGTGTGTGTGTGAGAGAGCTGTGTGTGTGTGAGAGAGAGCTGTGTGCATGTGAGAGAGTTGTGTGTGTGTGGGTGTGTGAGAGCTGTGTGTGTGAGAGAGCTGTGTGAGAGAGTTGTGTGTGTGTGTGTGAGAGTGCTGTGTGAGAGAGCTGTGTGCGTGTGAGAGCGCTGTGTGTGTGTGTGTGAGAGCTGTGTGTGTGTGTGTGAGAGAGCTGTGTGTGTGTGTGTGAGAGAGCTGTGTGTGTGTGTGTGAGAGAGCGCTGTGTGTGTGTGTGAGAGAGCTGTGTGTGTGTGTGTGAGACAGCTGTGTGTGTGTGTGTGAGAGAGAGCTGTGTGTGTGTGTGTGAGAGAGAGCTGTGTGTGTGTGTGAGAGAGTGCTGTGTGCGTGTGAGAGAGTTGTGTGTGTGTGTGAGAGAGCTGTGTGTGTGTGTGAGACAGCTGTGTGAGAGAGCTGTGTGTGTGTGAGAGAGTTGTGTGTGAGAGAGAGCTGTGAAACAGCTATGAGCGAGCTGCGTGCGCACGCGAGGGAGCTGCGAGTGTGCGCGCGTACCCATAGGGGACGTTGAAGGCGATGGCGTACACGACGTTGCGGTGTCCGTCCAGCGTGAGTCGCTCCTCTCCGCTCGCCGTGTCCCACACCTTGCACGTGCGGTCATAGCTACCCGTGATGAAGCTGGGGGACACGGGGGGGTGGGGGCACACAAGAGACATGGGGACACGGAAGGGGGGGGGGACATGGGGGATGGAGCAAAGAGACATGGGGACACGGGAGGGGGACAAGGGGGAGGGACAAAGGGATATGGGGACATGGGGGGGGGACACAGAGACATGGGGATACGCGTACATGGAAATATAGACGAGGAGACGCACAAGCATGGGAGTCTGGGCACAAAGCAACACAGAGACGTGGGGGCAACAAGGGGACATGGAGACGCACATGCATGGGATATTGAGACACGGGGACACGGGGTCTCAGTCTCACCTCTCACCAGACTTGTTGAAGGCCACGTTGGTGAGGGGCAGGATGTGAGCTCTGAGTACCTGCGTGCACACACACACACGGAGAAGCACACACACACACGGAGAAGCACACACACACACGGAGAAGCACACACACACGGAGACGCGTGCACATACATAAACACACGCGGAGACAAATGCACACACGTGGAGACGCGTGCACACACACACATGGAGACGTATGCACACACACGGAGACACGTGCACACACACACACACATGGAGATGCGTGAGAGTGAGGCTTGTCGTGCCCAAGTCACACCGAGCTGGAATTTAGCGACAAAAAGTGCAAAATTTAATTCCGCATCGGTTTCAGAAGTTTTATTTCCCACTGAGTAATGCCCGTAGAGCTAAGAAGCTCTTTGTCAAGGGGGAGGGAGTGACTCAGCCAGCAGGGAATATCGAAGTATTCCACAATTTACAGATATGAAAAAACTTAACAATTATGTTGTAAAATTACATTCACACTTAAAACTTTATCGATTTTAATACAGTTGGTTTAAATGAGGACAGAGATAGCAGAATGGAGAAAATGTGGTGATATTTATTGAGACATTTGATCAACTTTAATTTTTGTTTGGATGTCTTCAGCTATGACTTTTATTTGCCTGACAAATTAAATGTTTCTTCGGTTAGCCAAGGTGTTCCAGATTATTTATTTCGACTGGAGGAGGAATGCGATAACCTATGAAGCTCTTTTTCACAGATGTCCAGCTTCAGGGTCGGGGTCTCCCTGTGGCGCAAACCCCGTGGGGTTCGACATCTTTGGGGTAGAGGAGGCTTCAAAAGATTAAGCCTCTTTTGTGTGCACATGTACCTAAAGTGTTCCTAGCATGTTCGCATGTCCCTAGCATATCAACGTGTGTCCCGAGCGTATCCCTAGCGTGTCCGTGTGTGAGCGTGTCCACGTGTTCACGTTTTCATTTGTCCCAAGTGTGTCCCGAGCGTGTGCCGAGCGTGCAGGTCGACCCCCCGGGGAATTCAAATCTTGGGGGGCAATCCCAAGAAACTGGGAAGGAAACCCAAGAAACATTCAAATGTGGCGCATTCATTCCGACCTCTGCAGGTCTTAACGCGTCAACCTAATTAACAAACTAACGGCCGTACGTACAGGCGAGCGAGCGGGCAGGCGGGCAGGCAAACGAGCGAGCGGGTGAGCGGGCGGGTGGATACCTTGAAGAGATGGAACGGGTGGTCGCTGGCCTGCTGGAGTTTTCCCATGAGCCTCTCGACCAGATGGCGCACCTGCGGGGCCCGGGACGGCGTCACGAGCGGCTCAGAGGCCACGATATCCCCGACCACGGCCGCCACGTCCGTGCTAGCACCGTCATCGCACGACGGACAAGCACACACAAACGTAGACACGGACAGATGTGCAGTCGGGTAGACAGACAGGCCAACGGACAGTCGGACAATTGGGGCAGACGGACAGGCAGATGGAACGACAAATGGATAGGCACACGGACAGCCAGGCCAACGGACAGATGGACAAATGGACAGATGGATGCATTAAAGAAGAGACATAGAGACGGGGAGAGAGACGGACGGAGAGATAGAAGGACAAGGGTCAGGGGCAGTAGCGGACCGCGGGTGACTGCACAGGATGATGATCCAGAATCACAGAATATGTATTTACGCTAGAGGAATCTGATGAGCTATAAAGCTCTTTTTTTACAGATGTCCTCAAGGAAGGGGGAGGGGGGGCTCCACTCACTCTGGGCTGAGGTCCAGCAGGTCGATCGACTTGGTCTTCAGCTGCCCATGGTGCTCGTACTCCAGGATGATGCCTTGCGACAGACAGGTGTGTAAAACTAAAACGAAACTTACAATTTTTTTGTTCATTCCACAAGGGGTAAGGACCCACTGAGCCCTTGGCGAACTGGCCGCGTAGAGCGAGCGGTGCAAGCTCGCCACTGAGGTTTCGTCGACGCGGTACAGACGGACGGACGGAATGAATCTTTTGATTTAAACCTTTCGTGACTGCAGGGATTCATATTCTTGGTTCTTTCGAAAAAGTCAATACATAAAAAACAATAAATGAATCTGATCGACTCAACCTTGGTGGGAAAAGAGTGCTCGCCTGTTTTAACGCGCAGGCTTTCGCGACCAATGTATTTACGCGATCTAACCCCATTAAAAAAAAAACGGCATTACGAGCGCTCACCTGGCGGGTAATACCGCAGTAGGAATCTTTTCAGCCGCATGTCTGTCCTGCGAGTCCCCCTCGCCCTCCTCCGTCTCTGCACGTGGAAGGCACGGACAGACTCGCGTTTTGCAAACAAACGTACAGGACACAGGCGGGAGGGGGGGGATGAAAGGGGAGAGAGAGAAACATAGCGTGCAGCGATGTCGTAGCTGAAAGGTAAAAGGCGCAGCCCTGCAAATTGAACCACTCACGATCTGGACATGGAGCTCTAGAGGGGGACTCTGGAGAGGGAGATCTAGATATGGGGCTCTAGAGGGAGATCTAGAGATGGGGCTCTAGAGAGATAGAGATGGGGCTCTAGAGAGAGATCTAGATATGGGGCTCTAGAGGGAGATCTAGAGATGGGGCTCTAGAGAGAGATCTAGAGATGGGGCTCTAGAGGGAGATCTAGAGATGGGGCTCTAGAGAGGGAGATCTAGAGATGGGGCTCTAGAGGGAGATCTAGAGATGGGGCTCTAGAGAGATCTAGAGATGGGGCTCTAGAGGGAGATCTAGAGATGGGGCTCTAGAGAGAGAGATCTAGAGATGGGGCTCTAGAGGGAGATCTAGAGATGGGGCTCTAGAGGGAGATCTAGAGATGGGGCTCTAGAGGGAGATCTAGAGATGGGGCTCTAGAGGGAGATCTAGAGATGGGGCTCTAGAGAGGGAGATCTAGAGATGGGGCTCTAGAGAGAGATCTAGAGATGGGGCTCTAGAGGGAGATCTAGAGATGGGGCTCTAGAGGGAGATCTAGAGATGGGGCTCTAGAGGGAGATCTAGAGATGGCACTCTAGAGAGAGATCTAGAGATGGGGCTCTAGAGGGAGATCTAGAGATGGGGCTCTAGAGGGAGATCTAGAGATGGGGCTCTAGAGGGAGATCTAGAGATGGGGCTCTAGAGGGAGAGATCTAGAGATGGGGCTCTAGAGGGAGATCTAGAGATGGGGCTCTAGAGGGAGATCTAGAGATGGGGCTCTAGAGGGAGATCTAGAGATGGGGCTCAAGAGGGAGATCTAGAGATGGGGCTCTAGAGGGAGATCTAGAGATGGGGCTCTAGAGGGAGATCTAGAGATGGGGCTCTAGAGGGAGATCTAGAGATGGGGCTCTAAAGGGAGATCTAGAGATGGGGCTCTAGAGAGGGAGATCTAGAGATGGCGCTCTAGAGAGGGAGATTTAGAGATGGGGCTCTAGAGGGAGATCTAGAGATGGGGCTCTAGAGGGAGATCTAGAGATGGGGCTCTAGAGAGGGAGATTTAGACAGAAATCTACAGAGGAAGATCTGGAGAGGAAGATCTGCAGAGCTCTAAAAAGAAAGCTCTCTTTAGAACGTAGTGCCAAATTATCCTAGTAGCAAAAGTAGCAAATGCTACAGGCCCCGTACTTTCAAGGGCCCCCCGCTAAATGCTTTCAAGCTATCAATTCCGGTTCAGTGGTCCTGCACTTGCTCTATTACTGTAGTACTATACCGCCTTCAACTTTCACGGACGACTGGGTGTTTAAGGTTAGCGATGTGTCGTATTATCTGGCTGAATAGCCAAATGAAAAAAAAATGCAACGACTTTACTATACAAGTAAAACATTCATGTACTTTAATATTTACGTGTTTTTGTTATTTATTTTGGCTCCCTTTATAACGTATGCTCCAGGCCCCACCGCTGGCTTCATCCGGCACTGCACACAGGCGTACAAAAGACAAATAAACCCCTTCCCCCCCCGCCGCCGCCGCCGTCGCCCTCCTCTGCAGGTGCGTGCACGCTCACGGATGCTCCGCAACGTCTCCCGCCCCACGAGGAACTCACGGCGCTCGGGTCCCGGACTCGAACTGAGGAGTCGTCGCCTCAGGAGCCGCGAACCGCGTCCGCCATGACCAGCAACGCGGCGGCGACCCGTTGCTAGGAGACGGGCGTCGCTCGGGCGGCGTTTCGGTGGGGCGGCTCGTCGGCTTCCGGAAGACGTCTTCCAGAAGTTGGATGGGAGGGAGAGGGTCTTCCAGAAGAGTGATGAGAGATTATTCTAGAAGGTGAGTGGGAGAGAGTCGTCTAGAAGTAGGGAGAGATTCTTCCAGAAGAGTGATGAGAGAGATTCTTCCAGAAGAGTGATGAGAGAGAGTCTTCTAGAAGTAAGGAGAAAGTCTTCTAGAAGTGGCAGCGAGAGAGTCTTCTAGAAGAGTGATGAGAGGTTCTTCCAGAAGAGTGATGAGAGATTCTTCCAGAAGAGTGATGAGAGAGAGTCTTCCAGAAGAGTGATGAGTCTTCTAGAAGTAAGGAGAAAGTCTTCTAGAAGTGGCAGCGAGAGAGTCTTCTAGAAGAGTGATGAGAGGTTCTTCCAGAAGAGTGATGAGAGATTCTTCCAAAAGAGTGATGAGAGAGAGTCTTCTAGAAGGTGAGTGGGAGAGAGTCGTCTAGAAGTAGGGAGAGATTCTTCCAGAAGAGTGATGAGAGAGATTCTTCCAGAAGAGTGATGAGAGAGAGTCTTCTAGAAGTAAGGAGAAAGTCTTCTAGAAGTGGCAGCGAGAGAGTCTTCTAGAAGAGTGATGAGAGGTTCTTCCAGAAGAGTGATGAGAGATTCTTCCAGAAGAGTGATGAGAGAGAGTCTTCCAGAAGAGTGATGAGTCTTCTAGAAGTAAGGAGAAAGTCTTCTAGAAGTGGCAGCGAGAGAGTCTTCTAGAAGAGTGATGAGAGGTTCTTCCAGAAGAGTGATGAGAGATTCTTCCAAAAGAGTGATGAGAGAGAGTCTTCTAGAAGGTGAGTGGGAGAGAGTCGTCTAGAAGTAGGGAGAGATTCTTCCAGAAGAGTGATGAGAGAGATTCTTCCAGAAGAGTGATGAGAGAGAGTCTTCTAGAAGTAAGGAGAAAGTCTTCTAGAAGTGGCAGCGAGAGTCTTCTAGAAGAGTGATGAGAGGTTCTTCCAGAAGAGTGATGAGAGATTCTTCCAGAAGAGTGATGAGAGAGAGTCTTCCAGAAGAGTGATGAGTCTTCTAGAAGTAAGAGAAAGTCTTCTAGAAGTGGCAGCGAGAGAGTCTTCTAGAAGAGTGATGAGAGGTTCTTCCAGAAGAGTGATGAGAGATTCTTCCAAAAGAGTGATGAGAGAGAGTCTTCTAGAAGGTGAGTGGGAGAGAGTCGTCTAGAAGTAGGGAGAGATTCTTCCAGAAGAGTGATGAGAGAGATTCTTCCAGAAGAGTGATGAGAGAGAGTCTTCTAGAAGTAGGGAGAGAGTCGTTTAGAAGTGGCAGCGAGAGATTCTTCTAGAAGTGTGATGAGAGAGTCTTCTAGAAGTAGTGATAAGAGATTCTTCCAGAAGAGTGATGAGTCTTCTAGAAGAGTTATGAGAGCGGTCTTCCAGAAGAGGCAGAAAGAGAGAGGCTTCCAGAAGAGGGATTGGAGGGACGGTCTTCTGGAAGTTCCTACCGTACCATTAAACAAACGCAGATAGATGCCACTCCGAAAGATGCCACGAAACGTACTGCCACTAAACGCAGAGGAAAAAATGGACATCAGAAGAAGAAGACATCTTCCAGAAGCAACAGAACGAGATCTTCCGGAAGATGCAATCCCCCCCATGTCTTCAAGAAAACACAAATTACCCATCCAGAAGCCTCTACCGGAAGGAGAAGAATTCTACCGAACTATATTCTTGATTTTTTCGGTAAAGTCACCACGTAGAAGGGAAACAATAAAATAATAAAAATATATAAAACAATACAATTCTCACGACGTTTCGACTGCAACACGAGCAATCGTCATCAGGTGTGAAAACCACAGCAAGGAAATTTCTCGCTCCCTCACCGGGAGCCCGCACTGCACACTGCACGTGGTGCCTCAGCGCTGACCGGCGCTCACCCAAGCCCCGCTAGGGCTGGTGGTACTACATTATGTGGGCTGCACATAATGCCAACACATTATCCGCCGTGGCTTCGTTCAGTTCAGTTTATTTTTGTCAAGCCCTGTGAGCCATCCGGCTCTTGAATCGGGTGCAACCACAACAAACAAAAAAACAAAAACACGAACAATAAAGACATCTTAAAGTGACTGTGTGACTGTGCAAACAGAAAATCCATGGGAAAAAACCCAGCAAAAATATTCCTGAAAAAAGCACCGTACACCAACGCTGTGTGCAAAAAATCTCAGTGGGATGCAAGTCAAACAACAACCACAAAAACTTTAGATTAAGGCCATCAGTCTAACTCCGTACTACAACAAAACAAACATGTCCAAACCAAAAAACGTTTTCCAAATCACCAAAAAATAAAGCCATAATGAAAAATAAAGCCATTCGTAAGCCCGGCACCACACAGTGACAATCACAATCACGACATGTGTACACGTCTTCCGCGTGCGTATGTGTGTACACGTGTTCCGTGATAAATCCAATGAGCTATGAAGCTCTTTTCCACAGATGTCCAGTACGGGTCGGGTTAGCAAGTTACAGCAAACAAACAATGCAAAGCATAGGACAGGCAAGAAGATCACTAAAAATAAAGGACTGTAATAATAGGGTTTTCCCCTTTCTTGTGGCAACAAAACTGAAACCTTTTTACAAGGATTCATGTTACTGCATTACCCACAATACCTGCAGTCAAAATGCAAACAAAAAACACACTATGATAATATATGATGCATTGTCATTGAAACTGATTGGTCCACACCAAGGGACAGCTTTCTTTTGAGCCTCGACCCAATTGGTGCTCGACCAGATGACGCCAAAAGGCGTCAAAAGAAAGCCGTCCCTCGGTGGGGACCAATCAGTTTCAAGGACAATGCATATATTATCATAGTATGTTTTTTGTTTTCATTTTGACTGCAGGTATTGTGGGTAATGCAGTAACATGAATCCTTGTAAAAAGGTTTAAGTTTTGTTGCCAGAAGAAAGGGGGAAAAACCATATTATTATATTTTCGTACTGGCAAAGGAGGTCTAATGATGTGTATAAAGGACCGTATATGTGTGCACGTGTTCTACATGACAAAGGCAGCGTGCTCACGTCTAGGGCGCTGTAAATGGGATAATATGAATCCGTGACGGAATGAATGATACACGATATCATAGCCATGCTTGATCCATGCTCAATCCATTCTCAAACACATAGGCAGAGGTATTCAAAATATCTTAGCCATACTTGATCCATACTTGATCATACTTGATCCATACTCAAATACATAGGCACAGTTATTAAAATATCATAGCCATGCTTGATCCATTGCTGGAACATATGGGCACATGTATTCAACATATAATGGCCATGCTTGATCCACATGACATAAAGAGACGATCTGTCGATCAAAAAACTCCACATTAGGCCGCCCCTTGACGCTGATTGGCTTCTTTCTACATGAACATAATTTGCCATTCATTCTGCCGCGGATTCATTTTATCCTGTTACACGTTCAATCTGCTTCGGGGTGGTTGCCTTTCTCAATATCAGAATATTTATCCTGGAGGAATCCGACGAGCTATAGAGCTTTTTTCCGCAGGTATCCAGTCGGGGGCGGATTATCAAGTTACAACAGCAAGCAATCCAAAAACACGATATGAGTGCAAAGTACATACAAATAAAACAAAACTACAGATTTTTTTACCTTACCAGCTAAGGCTCACTGAGCGATTAGCTTTTTTTTTTGAGAAGCGACGTGGCCACCACAAACGATAACTCAACGAAGTGGCTTATCATCACGTGGACATTTACAGCAGCAAAATCATATGAATAGTAATCACGCATGTTTCTAAATACAGGCGCTCTCTTTGTTCAGATTTTGTAATGCATCTACTACTGTACTACTATTCCACGTAGAGCCAGGCAAGCCTGTAGTATTGGCCGAGGTGCGACTCTCCCAAGGGCTGTGTGCGTCGGCTGACAATGTATGAAAGTGTTGTGGTTCATTTGCGGTAAGCACTTCGCACTCATTGCACACAAAGTGCTTGCCAACAAATGAATCACAATACCTTTGCTGATCCCGTCAACGAGCAAAAGACCATCATCACCTCGCAGCAGCAGCAGTGGATTTTGGTTCGGCCATCGAACAAAGACGGTGGTCACCGCATCGCGTGGCTCTTTCAGATGCCCTTCTGCGTCCGTCTGGAACGCTCTTCCCTTCCGATGTTATGAAGCCACTGGAGCTATGCAGGTTTAAATCATCATCATCTCGATTGACAAACTCATTCCTTCAGAACTGCTTTTTGTGTTTAGTTGTCCTTCCCGTGCACCTTCGATTTCCATGGTCGGCTACGTATGGTGCGAAAGAAGTTCAACACACACACACACACATACAAATCAGTGACAACTGACGGCCAAAGACGTAGATTCTTGACTCTGCCGTGACCTGTCAGCATCCCTAATTCGAAAAGCAATTGCCAAATTGGCTTTTCTTATCGGGATTAAAGAAAATCGCATTACCCCCCCCCCACACACACACACTTCAGGACCCACGGTGGTGGCGTTAGGCGTTACACAAGACGCCTCTTTGGCTCTGGCACCATTTGCTCTGGAGCTCTTTGAATTCCTCCTGCCGCGTTGCGCAGAAGGTGCGGGCACGCACAGCGAGTCCTCGTTTGGCGTGCGAGATGTCGAAAAACAACGTCCCCGTGAATGAATGTAGCAACGGTGGAGTTTGGCGAGATGCGATGTGCTACTACGCCCACCACACAGTGGGATGGCGGGACAAATGACTGAGGATACGCCGTCGCCGCGGCACCCTATCAATCCGCGTCATAACGGGCGCGCTCTCCGCGTCATAATGGCGCGTGCTCCGCGTCATAACGGCCCGCTTTCCACGTCACAACAGCGCGCGTTCTGCGCAGGAAAAGTGTGTATCCCCGAATGCAAGCGAAAACGCGTTAAGCGAGGACTTACCATATATTTTTTTTATTTTTAAAGCTTTTGCAGATGTCCAGTAGATGCCCAGTGTTTCGGAAAACTTGTCAGACGCGGTTCCTACTCCGACATTGTGCTGTGTTTCCGCAGGCGAAAGCAACACGTGGGAGGTGTGCAAGCGCCCTGATTGTCTGCGAGCACTCGCGAACAGCACTTGCCCCAAACGTCTGTTGAGGCTATACGGTTAATCTTTGAGCAAGGGAGGGAGCGGTGGCGCGGTGTTCAGCAGCTCCGCGCTACGAGACCGGCGGCCTGGAGTTGGATCACCGCTCACAGCCAGCATTGCCCCATCCCCTCCGGTCGTTTTTTTTGGTCCCTCGCGGCGAGAGATTTTGAGATTAAAGAGTCGCTTGGTTTCCGGGCCACGCACAGACAGACAGAAAGCGAGAGAGAGAGAGCAGTGGTGGTGGTGGTGGTAGAGACCGGACCCCAAATTAACCCCAACCTTAATCGCTGGAGATAAATGCCCCCCCCCCCCCCCGTGCCCCCGCTGCGATGTGTTTACACAGCCGGCTCTCGGAAGTAATTTCCACTCGGACCATTTTCAGCGGTAACCAAGAGCCCCCCCAACCCTCAATAACACTCCCTGTAAGCAACAAGAACACTCTCCCAGGAACCTTGTGTGTAGCGTGACCCTTGTGTAGTGTCAGTGAGCTCGGAGACGAGGTTTGTAGGGTCACCTTCTTTATTGAACACACACGATCTCGCCTGCACACTCTCTACAGTCGCCTAGCCTATAACACAACACGAGCCATCTAACATCGACGGCGCTCGCCGAGACAGCTCACAGGCTACCTAGCAGCGCAATATCGAGCGAAGACGGCAGCGACGTTGGCGACGACGAGACGACAGTGACGACGAGATGATCTAATCCCAGAACCGGCAGCCTCGAGCACCCGGCTCTCGGCCCCTTTGATGCTCCCAGCGCGGCCTGGCTCCGCCCTGGACGCGCCTCCCCTCTCGAACCCGCCAGCAGCAGGTCCCAGGGGCCTCCAGATGGAGCCCTCGATTACCCTTGCCCCAGTTCCTCCGCCCTGCCGACACAGCCGTGTATATGCTCACCAGCGTGTATACTGTTTGTCCACCGCAGTTGCCGCTGCTGGTCACCAGCCGGCTCTATTACACTACACTTGTATAAAGTGGGGGGGAGCATATAGACACAGAGTGTGGGGGGCTCGACATAATAGTAAACAAATTTCCGGGTACGACATCAGAGGAGGAGGAGGAATCCGGTGAGCTATGATGCAGCTCTTTCACAAGATGTTCAGTGTGCTGCGGGTCAGCAAATTACAAACAGCAAACGATACAAAACAACGAGTGGAGAGCGCAAAGTTGAGTAAATAGCTAAGTCACTAATTAATTATATAAGTCCAATTTATCAAAATTTTGCAAGGCAACAAAAACAACAACAAACAGTCCCAGACCACACCAATATATCACACAGTCCCTCAACCCAGCCACCAAGCCACCAAGCCACCCACCAACCAGCCACCAACCCACACAGCCACCAACCACTCAGACACCAACCCACCCAGTCACCCACCACCCAGACACCAACCCACCCAGCCACCCACCACTCAGACACCAACCCACCCACCCAGCTACCAACCCACCCAGTCACTCACCACCCAGACACCAACCCACCCAGCCACCAACCCACCCAACCACCCACCACCCAGCCATCAACCAACCCAGCTACCAACCCACCCAGCTACCAACCCACCCAGCCACCCACCTACCCAGCCACCAACCCACCCAGCTATCAACCCACCCAGCTACCAACCCACCCAGCCACCCACCCACCCAGCCACCAACCCACCCAGCTACCAACCCACTCAGCTACCAACCCACCCAGCCACCCACACACCTAACCAGCCACCCACCTAGCCACCAACCCAATGTGGAGGGAAAACCCAGAAAGACCCGGAGGAATATCAATGTGTTCACAGGGGAGAACATGTAAACTCCAAATATACAGGCATCGTCAGGGTCGTGGATCTAACCCAGGACCTCCAGCATACCAGGTGAGGGAGATAACATTTCGCACCGGGACAACCCCGTGCTTAAGACGTCTTATCTGTTTGATACAGTATTTTGGCACCTATAATTATAATGCCACTGCTCAGATTATATCTGCACAATAAATTCTAGGTGGAGGAAGGCGGGGGTAGGCAGGTGGAGGCAGAAGCCCAGACTGTGTCTACATTCGTGCGATTGCTGAATGTATTTTGTCTTATACATCTAAAGTGGATATTATTGTTTTCTGTCCGGCCACCAAACCTCTGCCCCTACCACCCTCCACTTACCCTCATCCATGCCCATTTCACAATATCATGCATGTACCCCATACCTCACTGGCTCTCACCCACGCTGCACCCATCAGACACCCTCACTCACCATCACATTCCACCTTATTTTGCCTTATCTACCCCTGCAACATTAGCTCCATTCCCAGCCCCTGTATCTCCATCCATTCCATCACCTTCTTCACTGAACGCCGTCCGATTTCATCTTAAAGGGCTCTGGAAAAGGCGCTATATGAATGCGAAAGAGAATAGAATGGAAGGCACACGTGGTGTGACAACGTTTGTATGTGCAGACCATACGCCTTCTCTGCCCATCTGCCCCTCCATACCTATATATTCTTAAAAAAGTTATTCTCCGGGGAGTGAATGATTTTTCAGCTGAATCTTTTTCAACGCAAGCAACACGTCCGCACCGGATTCCACATTCGACTGCCTCATCAGCAGAGTGGGGCTCGCTTTAGCCAATGCTCGTGGTGCAAATGACACGGCGAGGTGTTTAAAAGGCAGGCGCGTAATGGGCGTGTCGTGAGATATGGGTGTTGCGATGTAATGTGAGCCTCTGTTAATTTACAGCCGTTTTCTAATCCACTGCTGTGAGCTCAGAGGACCATACTTCATCATGCCAGTCAGTGCGTGTTGGTGAATGGGAGGTGGGGTGGCGGAGGGGGGGGGGGTCTTTATCAAGCCGTCTTCGTCTTGCCACCGCTTGTAATGAAAATAATAATCTCCTCCTCGTAAGCACAAATAGTACATTGAGTATGAATGGTGGACGCGCGTGTGCACGCATCGACGGCATAGATCTAAAAATAATATGCCGGTGGGCATATTGTATTGCCTCTGCATCTCATTAACCTGCCACTTCACCTCTTGACCTTCTACATCCTCCACTCTCTAATCCTTGACCTCCCCCACCATCAACAACCCAGCCTCCCTCCCCACCAACCACGTGCTTTACCGTGACTCCTTCAAGTAAGCCTCGACGGAGTTGGGGCAGCGATTAGGACATAAGCGCTTAAGACGCACAAAGTTAGGAGCGCCCGCCCGCGCTGATCGGATTTGAGTGCTTCGAGTATATATAGAGGGAGAGATCGAGAGACGCACCCTAGAGAGGATCGTTAATCAGCGCCTCCCGCATCGCCCATATCACCTCCTCCACTGCGCCCTTCCTCTCGTCTCAAAGGTGTCCCGACAGCTCCCGTCCCATTTGGAATGGTTCCTCGAGTTAAGAGGATGGGATGCAGTCAGGTGGGATGGGGTGGAAAGGGATGGCGTGGAATAGCTAACTAACATTTTTATTTTATTTTTCCAGGTAAAGCCCATTGAGTTATATAGCTATTTTTTCAGAAGCGACCTGGATATCGTGAATTATATCTCAGCGAAGTGGCCTATGACGTGAAAATGTATTACAGCCAAATCATCTGAAGGCAGTTAATGTTCATTCTAAAATGTGGAGGGGAAAACCGGAGGACCCGGAGAAAAATCCACCCGGCCACGGGGAGAGAGAAAGATACACAAACTCCAAATATACAGCAGCAGGCGTCAGGGTCGGGATCGAACCCCCGACCTCCTGCATACCAGGCGAGGTGTTAACCACCTCGCCACCATGGGGTGAGATGGAATGGGGTGGAATAGCATGAGATAGGATGCGGTAGAATTAGTTGGCATAGCATTCGAATGTCAAAAGAGCCATGTGTGACAGGTTGCTTTGTGTACAAGGTGAGTTAAAAGCGTGGGGAACCGCGCTTCATTAAAAAAAAACTCCACATCCTGTTGATGAGACGCAGAATGTGAAAAGTGGTCCGGAGTTTTCGCCCTCGCTCAAACACGCTGCTTGACGAGTGTGGTCCGGAAAGCCAAATCGGCTGACGAGTTTCAAATGGGCATCGATGCGGTTGCTTGCCTCCTCTTTCAAGTCCTGAGACATTGGTGGTGGAAATTCCACGTTCCTGTCGGCGTACTTAAACCTCACGGCGCAATGACAACAATAAAATAACACCACTTAAGTACGGCTTCTTTTATCAGTAACAATTATAACAACAATAATAATGTGAGACCACTTTGGTTTAAAGCCGTACTGTTGTATGTTGAACTTCTTTCGCAGCGTACGTAGCCAACCGTGCTCACAGATATACATTAAAGACAAGCCACAGTGCTTGTCTTTAATGTATATCTGTGAGCTTCTATGGGTCTGCATGCGTCTCTGTATCTCCAGGTGTCTATGGGTATAATGCAGTGTGGGTTGCATGGCCACAATCGCATTGCTGTGGGTCGTGTCTCTAAGTTTTCCATTCATGAAGGAGACGTGCTCATCGATCTGTATGTACTGTATGTGTGCATGTTGAACTTCGTTGGCACCGTACGTAGCCAACCGTGCTAATCGTAGGTGCAGGGTGGGGGGGGGGGGGGGAGTATGACAATAAACTAGACACAACGAGGAGTTCTAAAGACACGAGTTTCCAATCGAGATTTAAAGGTGCCGCAGCTCCAGTGGCTTCCGAACATCGGAGAGGGATGTCGATCGATTGGCTGTTTGTGGTGCGAGCAAGCGGCAGGGCTTGGCACGCGTGACCGCGGCTAATTGGTTAGGGCTTCACTCGAGGATTCGTCGTTTGTCCGGGCCTCATGCCCTCTCTGTGCCGTGCGTTCACAACTCGCTGTGCTCTCTCTCCCCGCTCGCGTTGCTCCTTCGACTCGCGACTCTTCCTGGCGCTGTCCACTCGACCGCGGTGCTGATCGGCGCAGCCCCGGGGTGGAAAGTGAGGCTGCTACTGCTGCCGCTACTGCCTCTGCTGCGGACGGAGACGAAGAACGAAGATGGGAGACGGCGGAAACCGGTAAAGAAGTTGCGGGTCGTGGTGTGAGCGTTTTCCCTGTTAGCAGTGCCGCATTGAGAGAATAATTGAGATGGGGAGAAGTAGGGGTGACACTCTCTCTGTACCAAGGACGTTTGCCAGTGCGCCTCTTAAAGTAGCATCGCTCGGCCAACTGGTGGAGCGATGTGTGTATGTTGAACTTCTTTCGCACCGTACGGAGTCAACCACGATACTCGGAGTTGCGGGGGGAAGGACAACAAACTAAACACAACAACAACATCAGCTTTTTTTTTAAGAAGCGAGTTTGTCAATCTAGACGATGATTTTAAAAGCGCCATAGCTCCCACTGGCATCCTAACATCGGAGGGAAGATCGTTCCAGGCGGCCGCAGAAGCGCCATCCGAAAGCGCCGCGCGATGCGAGCGACCGGCGGCTTCTGTTGCGCAACGAGACACGCGACGCCGGCGCGAATCGCTCCGTGCAGCCGTGGCCACGTCACCTGGTGCCGAACATCCAATGGGCACGCGGGCAATAACGAGACGGGGGAAGGGGAGGGGCTACAAATTATATAAATTAAATAATTCCCGGCCGTGTGGGGGGAGTGAGTGTGTGTGGGGGGGGGGGGGGGGGAAGTGTGTGTGTGGGGGGAGTATGGGGGGAGTGAGTGTGTGGGGGGAGTGAGTGTGTGGGGGAGTGTGTGGGGGAAGTGTGTGGGGGGAGTGTGTGGGGGGAACGAGTGTGTGAGTGTGTGGGGGGAGTGAGTGTGTGAGTGTGTGGGGGGAATGAGTGGGGGGAGTGGATGTGTGGGGGGAATGAGTGTGTGAGTGTGTGGGGGGAGTGAGTGTGTGAGTGTGTGGGGGGAATGAGTGTGTGGTGGGGAGTGAGTGTGTGGGGAGAGTGAGTGTGTGGGGGGGGGGGGGGAATTATCTGAATCGGTTCTGGGCCTCCCTTAGGTCAACTCAGCCTCAAATGAGTACCTGGTTCGGTGTGTAAACATCGCCACTGGGGAGACAAAGACGGCGGGGCGTTGTTCTGGCCACCCACTCCCATCGTGCGCCATGCCGGCCTTCATCGGTGCTACTCGCTAACAGCGCTTGCCCCGACAGTCTATTAAAGCTACCCGGGGGTGGTCTTTGACTCGTGGTCTTAACTGCCTGAGAGTCGCGGGAAGAACTTCCAAGAGCTCTCCGTACCGACTGCCTTGTTCTGCTCGAAGCGTGGACAATTTCCCCCCGGTGGCTTCGGGGCTATTGTTGGTGCCTGGCTAAGTGCATGTCCGGTGAGCATACGGGGGGGAGGCAGGGGTGGTGCCCGCATAAGCCTCGCCCTGAGTAAATGCGCTCATCCGTCCGAGAAGCTCCCCATTAGCGCGATTAGCTCGAGTCAGCGTGGGCAGGGTAACTTTAGCCAAACTCGATTTGATTTAAATCCTCGGACGCACGGATTACGGGCGAGAGAGACGTAAAGACACCAGACGCATCCCATTGGCCCGGGCGCGATACCTGGCGACCGTTCGGAAAGACCGTGTCCAGAAGCACACTCTGTGAATTGTTACAAACTCGCCTTATGCCCCTCCAAGGATGGGTGTATTCCAGTAAATCTGAAACTTGCAAGCGAAAAGCACAGAGCGCGACGTGATATGCATGCCATCCATTCGTGTGCAATTTGTAAGGGCGCGGTGACACAGACTTATTTCATTTTAAGGTTATAATCCATTGTTCATCACGACGTCCTTTTTACTTCTATGTCTCAACAACAGCGTTACGGAGATCACGTGACGTGATGAGGGTTCTGCCTTTGTAGTGAGGGTTGTCAGTTGACGCCGAGGAGGGGGGAGGAGGCGCCTCGCCCCCCCCATGTGGAGTGACGTCACCCGCTAATTAATATTAATGAAGGTTGTCCATTTGGAAGACGTCACCTCTTCATGATTATTAGTATGGGGGGCTGTTCGATGTGGAGTGACGTCACCTGTTCATGAGTATTAATTAGGGGGGCTGGCCACCGTAGAGTGACGTCACGCGCGAGACACAGACATTATTGGCTCATTATTATAATCGTAAATAAATTTGACTTCTCGCTCAACTCATATGATGCACTCCGGGCAACGGGCAGGGCTACCTGAGAAGTGGGCGGGGTTGGCCGAGTGGTGGGCGGGGAGAGCTGGGTGGTGGGCGGGGCTACCCGAGTAGTGGGCGGGATTACCTGCGTGGTGTGCGGGCCTAGTTGAGTGGTGGGCGGAGTTACTCGAGTTGTGGGCGGGGCTAGCTGAGTGGTGAGCGGGGCTACCCGAGTGGTGGGTGGGGATTTTTAGACGTGATCGGGGGCTTGCTGAGTGGTGGGCGTGGCTAGTGATGGGCGGGGCTAGCTGAGTGATGGGCGGGGCCAGCTGAGTGGTGGGCGGGACCAACAACAAGTAAAAGTTTAACATGTAGTAGTAATCGGCTTACGCGACCAATATTATCCATAATAAAGGTTTAAAAAAAACGAGTGTTTTCACATTTCCCGTGTTTAAATATTTAAACAAAAAAGCAGATCTTCTTTGGTTCTTTCGGTAAAGTCACGTAGAATGAGAATAAAATAATAAATTGATAAAATAAAATAACACAATAATATTCTCACGACGTTTCGGCCACAACACAAGCGGCCTTCATCAGGTGAAGGGAGCGAGACTGTCTGGTAGGACAGCGCTGGAGTGAGAGAGCCACGTTCAGATCACGGCTTTTAAGCTGTGTGAGAGGAACAAAGAGCCTTGACGAAGGAATTAGCATAAAATTTAGCATTGAAAAGGCTGAATGATTAGCTTGTGACTGGTCACAGAAATAGCTATGTTAAAAGTTAAAGCATACACATCCGCAGAGGCACCCATTGTTAAAAGGAATTAGCATAGAATTTAGCATTGAAATAGCTAAATTAAGGCATTCGCTTGTAACTGCTACAGAAATAGTTACGTTGAAGTCAGAGCATACACATTCACCGAGGCACTTCGTGCAAATCAAAACAGGAGAATTTAGCATTGAAATAACTAGGCGAATTTAGCATTGAAATAACTGGGTGATTTGCTAGTGACTGGTCACAGAAATGACTACATATCTGAGCTATTCACAGTACTATATAGTGAACCAATAAAAACTAAAATATAAATTACCTTCATGTTATCAATAAACTCTATATTCTCCAATCAGCTAAGCTACCAACCATAAGTCGTTATATATCACAATGCTATATGGCGAAAAAATGGGTGGATTCTTACCCTCAAATTTCCGTACCACGGATAGCTACGGGCCCCGTTCAGACGGACGAGTTCGTCCATGGTCGGAACAGAGGAGGGGGAGAGAGACAGCTGCGAAGCCCTAGTATACTCCATGTTGTAAACCATACCATTAACCGTGGTGTGAGAGGTATTAAGAGGCAATGCTGGCGAAAGAGCTGCGGTCTGAAGGTCATCGTAAAATTACAATTAATTAAGAACAGAAATGATTTAACACATCTTTCCACTGGTTACTAAGCCTGAATCCATCTTCTCGGTTGAAATTGTCTCTGTGCTTGTATATGTGAATGGCCTCATGAACGAATCTCTCATGGTAGCCAGTTGGTTTGCAAAGAACCTCCGTCTTGGAGAAGTCAATGTCATGTGAGCCCACTGAATTGTAACAGTGATCTGCCACGGCAGAAGAGTTCGTCTTACCGTGTTTCAAGTCTGCTTTATGTTCGCGGATGCGGTCCGAGATATGTCTTTTGGTTTCTCCAATGTAGCTACTACCACAGAGGCACTTTAGTTTGTAAACGCCCGGGTACTGTATGTCTGGAAGAGCATCTTTTACAGATGGAACTAAATCACGGATTTTGTGTACTGTGTTGAATCGGACCTGGATCTTGTGTTTATTCAGGATTTTGGAGATCTTTTAGTGACCCCTGCAATGTAGGGTAAGGTGATGGTTTTGAGTGGCTCCACAAGAGGATCCTTCTTCATGACTGGAGTGATGGCTTTGCGGATTGTGTAGTCGGAGTAGCCATTAGCCCTGAGAGCCTGGTGTACGTGCTTGAGTTCACTGGTAATGTGTTCCTGGTCGGAAATGCATTGGGCTCTATGGTATAGAGTCTTGATGAGGCAGTTCTTCTGGGATGGATGGTGGTGGGAATCCGGTTTCAAGTAAGCATCTGTATGGGTAGCTTTCCTGTAGACAGAGTGGCTCATTGAACCATCATGTCTCCTTTTAATTAAGACATCCAGAAAGGGTAGTTTGCCATCTTTTTCCGACCTCCATGGTAAATCTGATGGCTGGGTGTATGGAATTGATGTGGTCGCGGAATTGGTCTAGAGCAGGCTGGCCATCCTGAATAAACACAAGATCCAGGTCCGATTCAACACAGTACACAAAATCCGTGATTTAGTTCCATCTGTAAAAGATGCTCTTCCAGACATACAGTACCCGGGCGTTTACAAACTAAAGTGCCTCTGTGGTAGTAGCTACATTGGAGAAACCAAAAGACATATCTCGGACCGCATCCGCGAACATAAAGCAGACTTGAAACACGGTAAGACGAACTCTTCTGCCGTGGCAGATCACTGTTACAATTCAGTGGGCTCACATGACATTGACTTCTCCAAGACGGAGGTTCTTTGCAAACCAACTGGCTACCATGAGAGATTCGTTCATGAGGCCATTCACATATACAAGCACAGAGACAATTTCAACCGAGAAGATGGATTCAGGCTTAGTAACCACTGGAAAGATGTGTTAAATCATTTCTGTTCTTAATTAATTGTAATTTTACGATGACCTTCAGACCGCAGCTCTTTCGCCAGCATTGCCTCTTAATACCTCTCACACCACGGTTAATGGTATGGTTTACAACATGGAGTATACTAGGGCTTCGCAGCTGTCTCTCTCCCCCTCCTCTGTTCCGACCATGGACGAACTCGTCCGTCTGAACGGGGCCCGTAGCTATCCTTGGTACGGAAATTTGAGGGTAAGAATCCACCCATTTTTTCGCCATATAGCATTGTGATATATAACGACTTATGGTTGGTAGCTTAGCTGATTGGAGAATATAGAGTTTATTGATAACATGAAGGTAATTTATATTTTAGTTTTTATTGGTTCACTATATAGTACTGTGAATAGCTCAGATATGTAGTCATTTCTGTGACCAGTCACTAGCAAATCACCCAGTTATTTCAATGCTAAATTCGCCTAGTTATTTCAATGCTAAATTCTCCTGTTTTGATTTGCACTAAGTGCCTCGGTGAATGTGTATGCTCTGACTTCAACGTAACTATTTCTGTAGCAGTTACAAGCGAATGCCTTAATTTAGCTATTTCAATGCTAAATTATATGCTAATTCCTTTTAACAATGGATGCCTCTGCGGATGTGTATGCTTTAACTTTTAACATAGCTATTTCTGTGACCAGTCACAAGCTAATCATTCAGCCTTTTCAATGCTAAATTTTATGCTAATTCCTTCGTCAAGGCTCTTTGTTCCTCTCACACAGCTTAAAAGCCGTGATCTGAACGTGGCTCTCTCACTCCAGCGCTGTCCTACCAGACAGTCTCGCTCCCTTCACCTGATGAAGGCCGCTTGTGTTGTGGCCGAAACGTCGTGAGAATATTATTGTGTTATTTTATTTTATCAATTTATTATTTTATTCTCATTCTACGTGACTTTACCGAAAGAACCAAAGAAGATGAATCATTGCAGTCACGAAAGCTTTAAATCGAAAAAAGCAGATACCATCAAATAAACTATTTAAAAAAAACAACGATGGATAACACCGTTACCAGGGTGTCCGCTTGCCACACTGACAAGCCCCCCCCCCCCCCATCGTTGTGTCCGATTGCACATAAATGTTGGCTCGGTGGTTCGCCCACCACGCCACGCATGGACCAAACTGATGATGCAATTCCCATACAAGTACCACTTTGTCCACATGCAGAAGGGGTGAATTGAGTATTCGCTAGCCCCCCCTCCCCTTCTCCCCCCCCCCCCCCCCCCCCCCCCCTCAATAACAAGAACCAAAAACATGAACTACTGAATGTTAATGTTGTTTAATGCTGACGTAGTATTGTTAAATCGATCGTGAGTGGGGTAACATGTGGGTAACTTTCACCTCTTCCAAGGCGTCTGGCGATCGTGAAAACGCAGGCCAAAGAACCCTGTCTCAGAGGGTTACTGTGCTCGAGTGGCAGGCTCTTGCGTTGTCAGCCATTGCAGGGGCTGCGCCCTCAACTCTTTCGATAGCGCCGTGGTGGATGTGCGGAGCGCGCTCGGTCGTTACCGCGACCAATCTGACTCCGTCCCACGTGTTGTGTCCGCAGTGTCTTCAAGAAAACGAGCTCCAATGGCAAGGTATGTCGCGCGCAGTGCAACGCAGTGCGGTTACACGACACGATGTGGATTTACGTGACGTGGAAACGTGACCACGTCTCAAGACGCTCCGCAAGAAACCGCGGGCGTATTCATTTGATAGAGAGAGGCAGCCAGAAATAGAGCAGAGGACGAAGGGAGGGGTAGGAGAGTGCGTGGAGGGGAGTGGAGTGACATGAGAGGGGAGAGGTAGGGGAGTGTGTGGAGGGGAGTAGAGTGAGATGAGAGGGGAGAGGTAGGGGAGTGGGTGGAGGGGAGTGGAGTGAGATGAGAGGGGAGAGGTAGGGGAGTGTGTGGAGGGGAGTGGAGTGAGATGAGAGGGGAGAGGTAGGAGAGAGCGTGGAGGGGAGTGGAGTGAGATGAGAGGGGAGAGGTGGGAGAGTGAGTGGAGGGGAGTGGAGTGAGATGAGAGGGGAGAGGTAGGGGAGTGTGTGGAGGGGAGTAGAGTGAGATGAGAGGGGAGAGGTAGGGGAGTGGGTGGAGGGGAGTGGAGTGAGATGAGAGGGGAGAGGTAGGGGAGTGTGTGGAGGGGAGTAGAGTGAGATGAGAGGGGAGAGGTAGGGGAGTGGGTGGAGGGGAGTGGAGTGAGATGAGAGGGGAGAGGTAGGGGAGTGTGTGGAGGGGAGTGGAGTGAGATGAGAGGGGAGAGGTAGGGGAGTGTGTGGAGGGGAGTGGAGTGAGATGAGAGGGGAGAGGTAGGAGAGTGCGTGGAGGGGAGTGGAGTGAGATGAGAGGGGAGAGGTGGGAGAGTGCCTGGAGGGTTGTAGGCCTTCCCCCTAGGTCGACTCAGCCTCAAACATGTACCTGGTGCAGTGTATAAACATCACGACTGCATGGGGGAGACGGAGGCGACCGGGCGTGGTGCTGACCGCCCACCGCTTCGCATGCCGCGCCTTCCTCCATAGGTGCTGCTCGCTCACAACACTTGCCTCGAAAGTCTGTGCACGCTACACGGGGGACCTTTGCCTGGTCTTCGATGACTTTCACACCTTGCATCTCCCTTTGTGCAGATCACGCTTTACCTGGGCAAGCGCGACTACGTCGACCACGTTGATCACGTGGACCCTATAGGTCAGTTGGCCCACTCATTGTCGCAGGTTCGCGAGTTCAACCCCTGGCTGGGGTGGAGGGGGGAGTGGTTAACTCGGCCCATCGTCCCTCTTTCTCGTCTCTCTCCGGGGTCAATAACACAATTGCAAAGTTGTGGGGGGAATTCAACACTGCTTGTCCTGTACTCTGGGGTGACTCTCACCCGGCCATAGGAACGTGCAATTTCCAACAAACGCCTCGGGATTGTGAACGCGAGATGAGCACGGCTGGGACGCGTCTCCGGACGATGGAGGAGTCATTTGGAGGCTTGTGACGCGTACGACCGTGCCTGTGACGTCACGGCATCTACTTTAAGGACCCGGATTGAGGAGAGGGTCATCCCTAGAGTGGACAACTCCGTAGTTATCACCTGGCGATGTGCTTGCTGATCGCTGGGGGAGGGGGGGGGCAGCGGGGATAGTCCACCGACTGTGGTTAGGGGCCTCCATAAATGACGTCACGCACCTGGGGGGGGGGTTAGACATTTGTGACGATGTGTGACGAGGGGGGGGGGGGTTGAGGAATGTGACGTCACATCAAAATGCGCAACTTTAAATAAATATAGGCAACACGTTCTACTTAATTAAATAGACGTTTTAATAAATGTTTAGATGTTTTCTCCGACTACATCAGAGTGCAGCGGCACATTAAATACGCATTACAAGGACAATAGTTTAAAGCGATTTGAAGCATGTTTTAACTTTTTTTTGGGGGGCGGGGGGGCAGAGCTTGGTGACGTCATATTTGAGGAGGGGGGGGGGGTCTGACTTTGTGTGACGCCGTGTGACGATGGGGGGGGGGGGGGGGGGTCAAAAATCGTCCAAAATCGCGTGACGTCATTTATGGATGGCCCCTTAGGTGCTACTACCCAACAGCACTTGCCCCGACAGTCTGTTAAAGCTACGCGGGGGTGGTCTTTGTCTTAACTGGGGGCGGTCTTTGTCTTAACTGGGGGTGGTCTTTGTCTTAACTGGGGGCGGTCTTTGTCTTAACTGGGGGCGGTCTTTGTCTTCACTGGGGGTGGTCTTTGTCTTAACTGGGGGCGGTCTTTGTCTTAGCTGGGGGTGGTCTTTGTCTTAACTGGGGGTGGTCTTTGTCTTAACTGGGGGTGGTCTTTGTCTTAACTGGGGGTGGTCTTTGTCTTAACTGGGGGTGGTCTTTGTCTTAACTGGGGGTGGTCTTTGTCTTAACTGGGGGCGATCTTTGTCTTAACTGGGGGCGGTCTTTGTCTTAACTGGGAGTGGTCTTTGTCTTAACTGGGGGCGGTCTTTGTCTTAACTGGGGGCGGTCTTTGTCTTAACTGGGGGTGGTCTTTGTCTTATCTGCCTGAGAGTCGCAGGATGAATTTCCATGTGCCCTCCGTACCGGCTGCCTTGTTCTGCCCCTGTGGCTTCGGGGCTATTGCTGGTGCCTGGCTAAGACTATAGGGGCGATCTTTGTCTTGCAGATGGAATGGTCATTCTTGATCCTGAGTATCTTAAGGAACGCAAAGGTGAGTCCTGTCCTCGCGTGACACGTCTTCATCATCACCATCGTCATCATCATCGTCGTCGTCGTCAGCCATGATCTATACACTGCTGGATGAAAGCCTCACCGAGCCGTCGCCGTGCCTCCACGAATCTCGCGATCCTTCACGGCTCCTTAACGAGCTGATCGCTCCATCTCCCCGGTGCTTTGTGACCTGCGCGCTCTCACGAATGCCACGCGGGCAAATTCGTTGAAGAACGTAAAGATAACTCTGTGCATTCATGGGTGGGTGGGGGGGGGGGTTGTTGGGTGCGGAGCCCGGGGGAACTCACTCACCGTGTGCCCCCCCCCCCAAAGCGCGGGGCCCGAGGCGCTCGCTCCAAGGAAGGCCTCGGCCTCTGTGTAATGGAACGTGCACGTGAGGCGTTCTACCCAGCCAATGTCCCTCTGGCTGGGTAGAATTTTATCGAGTGTTCGTCTCTGCAAGTTGCCTCTCACGATGCTGGGCCCGTCGCTTTGAACTCTCACGACTCGTCGTACTTGTCCAAGGCTCCCCCCCGAGCAAAAAAAAAACCTGCTGATCTGATGTCCCCAGATAGGTGCCCGAGTTAGGAATCGAACTCAGGTTCCTTCTGGCCTGTGAGGCGCTGACGTTCCCAATGCGCCGAGATGTTAACTCCCTTGTCTGGTATGTCGGAGGTTGTGGGGTCGATCTCGAACCCTATATTTGGAGTTTGCGGTGTCTCTCTCCATGGCGGTCGCGTGGATTTTTCTCTGGGTCCTCCGGTTTTTCCCTCCATGCTTTCAAATTATTTGGCTGCTATAACTTTCCACGTGATAAGCCACTTCATGAGGCTATCATTTGTGGCCAGGTCGCTACCGAAAAAAAGCTGCGTAGCTCAGTGGGCCTTACCTTGTAAAATAAAAATAAAATAGTTTTATTTTATTTTTATAAAAAAAGTGTTTAGTTTGACAGTCTCTGGTATTTGACTGCTGCTCTTTCTTTCTTTGGATTTCCCCCCCACCTCCCCCATTCACCCCCACCGCCAACCCCCTCCTCCGCCCCCACCCTGCAGCGTACGTGCAGATAACGTGCGCGTTCCGCTACGGACGCGACGACCTGGACGTGCTGGACATGACGTTCCGCAAGGACATCTACGTGAGCACCTTGCAGGTGTTCCCGCCACTGCCCGAGGACAAGAAGCCGCTCACTCACCTGCAAGAGCAACTCATGAAGAAGACCGGAGGCAACAGCTACCCCTTCGTCTTCGAGGTGTGAGTCCGGCGTCCGTCCGGTCCATCTGACTGGACCGACCAACCGACCGACCCACCGACCGACCCACCATTTGACCTACTGACCGACTCATCGACCGACCGACCCACTGACTGACCGACTGACCGACCTACAGACTGACCCACTGGCCGACCCATCAACTGACCCACTGACCGACCTACAGACTGACCCACTGACCGACCCACTGACCGACCCATCAACTGACCCACTGACCGACCCATCAACTGACCCACTGCCCGACCCGCCGACTGACCGACCCACCGATCGACCAACCGACCAACCGACAGACCCACCAACTGACCCACCGACCCACCAATTGACCTACTGACCGATCCACCGACCAACCCACCCACCGACCCACCACTCCGTGATATCTATTTTTGCGGACCGGCCACGGTACGTCCGACAGGGGAGGGTAAAGCTGCATGGCCACATGGAGATGGAGAACCCTCGTGGGCCCCGCCACGAGACCAAGGTCCCTTTCACATCGCTCACGGGGGCAGTGCGCGCCAACAGAAGCGGATATGAAAGTAAACTCTACACTCAAACTATATATTTTTTTATTTTACCAAGTCAGGTCCACTGAACTATAATCGCTCTTTTTGACCGAAGATGTGTTTCGACGTTGTTGGTGACCGTAGCTGAGACCATCGACTCGCCGCACTGGAGAACCCCGTGGTTTAGCCCCAGGCGGCTGCTGGAACCTGGATTTGAGCCCAGGTCCTCGGCGTGTGTTGGTGTCGCGCCTCTGACTCTCTGAACCACCACCACCCGGTAACCTCCTCAAGCCACCCTATTCCACGTGTCTCGCTCAGTCTCCCTTCGACACGAGTGCAGATAAATCGAGTCGGGCAAAATACAAAGTCCCGAGCGATGATGCGGGCGATGATGCAGGCGATGACGCGGGCAATGATGTGGAAGATGATGCGGGTGATGATGCGGGTGATGATGCGGGCGATGATGCAGGCGATTATGTGGGCGATGATGCGGGCGACGATGTTGACGATTATGCGGGCGATGATGTGGGCGATTAGCGGGTGATGATGTGTGCGACGATGCTGTTGATGATGTGGGCAATGGCGCAGGCGATGATACGGGCAATGATGTGGACGATGATGTGGGCGATGTTCAATCGGGGGAGTCGCGAGTAGCAGCCGCGCGACGACTCTGCGCTCGCGTTGCGTTCACGTTTGGATCGTCGTACTCACGACGCGGAGAACAGCGAGTCGCAGAGAGAGTGAGAGAGAGAGCCGCTGCGAACTGACTCCCTTTCGACTCTTTCAGCTTCCACAAAACCTGCCGTGCTCCATCACTCTGCAGCCGGGACCGGATGACGCTGGCAAGGTGAATGGCGACATTTAAAGGGGGAAAAAAAAAAACTCGGTCCGATTTTAGCGTCGGTGCCAACCTGGTCTGATTTGATTAGTTTTATTTTTAATGATAAAAGTGTTTTTTTGGGAGGTTTATAGATCGCGCGAAATGTAATTGTGTCGTGCACCCAACCACCCGACGCATCCAATCGGTAACGGTTCTCGCGTTGCGAACTTAACGAGGCCGTTCAGTTCATTAAACACCGGTTGCGTGCGTGCGTTTGGAGGGCAAAACCCACAACAATAACATTGACAATTTGAGTACTTTGACGTGTCGCCGGTGATCACAGCCAGCGGCATCATCAGGCGTTTTTTGCCCGTACACCACATTTACGTTCACGCAACCTCAGCTGACGAAACTTCATCGCCAATAAAGATGTTGGTGGTGAAGCTCCACGTGCCGAGTTTTTGTTTTTGTACGTGCCGAGTTGTTTTTTGTACGTGTTGAACTGATTTTTGGACGTGCTGAATTGTTTTTTGAACGTATTGAATTGTTTTGTGGACGTGTTGAATTGTTTTTGGACGTGTTGAATTGTTTTTTTGGACGTGTTGAATTGTTTTGTGGACGTCTTGAATTGTTTTCTGGACGTGTTGAATTGTTTTTTGGACGTGTTGAATTGTTTTATTGGACGTGTTGAATTGTTTTTGTGCGTGTTGAATTGTTTTGTGGACGTGTTTAATTGTTTTTTGGACGTATTGAATTGTTTTCTGGACGTGTTGAATTGTTTTTTGCGTGTTTAATTGTTTTTTGGACGTCTTGAATTGTTTTTTGTACGTGTTGAATTGTTTTTGTGCGTGTTGAATTGTTTTTGTACGTGTTAAATTGTTTTTTGGACGTGTTGAATTGTTTTTTTGGACGTGTTGAATTGTTTTTTGGACGTGTTGAATTGTTTTTTGGACGTGTTGAATTGTTTTTTGGTACGCATTGCATTGTTTTTTGTGCGTGTTGAATTGTTTTTTGTGCGTGTTGAATTGTTTTTTGGTATGCATTGAATTTTGTTTGTGCGTGTTGAATTGGTTTTTGTACGTGTTGAATTGTTTTTTTGGACGTGTTGAATTGTTATGTGTGCGTGTTGAATTGTTTTTTGGACGTGTTGAACAGCTTTTTGTCCGTACCCAAAATCTCGTCAGCCACGCAATCTTTCTGGAGCGCATCTCGGCAGCCGGCGTCGTCAGTTCAACGCGAGCCAAACTCTGGACCGGTTTCGACACTCGGTCTCTCATCAGCGCGGTCACGCTCCCTTGCTCCCTTGCTCGCCTGCTTCAACCAACGCTGGTGCATTGCCGGAAGTCCATGGGCGAGGATCCGTTCTCTCTCTCTGTGAGATATGGGTGCCCGTTTCAACATAAGCGGGAGCTTTGTCGAGGAATACACTTCCTGCAGGAGCTGTCCAGCACTTAGGAGCGGAACGTCGGACATTGTATCGATGCAGTGATTGTGGTGGTGGGGAGGGTGCGATTGACGCCGTGTGTGTGCCGTGGTGCGTGTCGACCAGCAGGCCTGCGGCGTGGACTTCGAGGTGAAGGCGTTTTGTGCCGAGAACCTGGAGGAAAAGATTCACAAAAGGTCAGAGTAGTGGTCAACGGGGAGGAGGCTCACAGAGAGGACCCGCGGACTCGCACAGAGACCCGTAGACTCGCACAGAGACCCGTAGACTCGTACATTGGCTGGGTTGGTGTGAATCCTGTGAAATTGCAAGCCCACTGGCTATCAACAAAGATTCGTTCATGAAGCCATCCATATATATAGACACAGGCACAATTGTTGAACCTACCCTCGTTACTTTACCGAAAGATCCAAATAATATCGTAGAATTCTGCGCTACAAACTCGTCGACCCGAGTTCGATTCCCGCTCACGGCCAACACCAATGACGATCATCTTAACCAGTCCTAGGCATCCCCTAGGTCGACTTAGCCTCAAATGAGTACCTGGTATGGTGTGCAAATATCGCCACTGGGGAGACAAAGGCATCTGGGCATGATTCTGGTCACCCACCCTCTCGTGTACTGTGCCGGCCTGCATAGGTGCGATTCGCTAACAGCACTTACCCCAAACATCTGTTCAAGCCTATACGGGGGATCTTTGTCTTTGTCATGTGCGTAGGATTGCCAATTCTGACTGAAGCTATTCGGGGACCTTTGTATTCTTAGAATTATTACGAATAATCAATTTTATTAAAATATCTCCTCGTTATTAAAATCTCCCGGGTTTGCTTTCAATAGCCACGATGCCAATTCCGGTCGAGACTCCCGGGTCAATCCGGGACGGGTTTGGCCAACGCCGGCACCTCCGATTAAGCACGCTTAATCGGAGGTAGGCTAAGTACGGTGCGAAAGAAGTTCAACACACATACACGTACGTACGCCTACCAACAGCGCTTGCCCCTCCCCCACCCCAGTCGCAACAGCCTGGTTTTACCTTCATCTTTTACTGTTGTCGGCCAGGAACTCCGTGCGACTGCTGATCCGGAAGGTGCAGTTCGCTCCCGAGCGCTCCGTGACTCCGCCCAAGGCGGAGACGACGCGCCAGTTCCTCATGTCGGACAAGCCGCTCCAGCTGGAGGCCTCCCTCGACAAGGAGGTGAGTGGAGCACCACCCCCATCCCCACGTGACACGCGGCCAATGCGCGCGCCCGACACACGGCCGAAAGTATTTTTTTTGTTACAAACTTTTGATTTTTTTTCTCTCTCTCTCTCTCACTCTCAAGAAAAAAAATCTAAAAAGTGTACCGTGTCGTCAGAATCAGGATGTTTATGTAGGGGCTGTAGGAGGAAATCTGATGAGCTCCGAAGCTGATGCCGAATGTGTAGAGGGGGAGGGAGGGAATAAACCGGAGGATCCGGAGAAATATCCACGCCACCACGGGGAGGGCGCGCGAGAGAGAGAGAGAGAAGCAGAGACACTCAAATCTCCAAATATTCAGCAGGCGGCAGGGTCGGGGATCGAACCCACGGTGTGGTGGGGTGAGCGATTCTGTGCGCCCCCATCGAACCCGTCTCGCTGGGGGCGATTACGCTAATCCGGTGGCCCCTCCCGCAAGGCCATGCGCGGCTGATGGGATGTGTAAAAAAAAATATGTATAACGTAGCTTTAAAAAATAAATATATATAATAATTTATATTTTAACTTTGTTTTTTTTACTTGGAGACACAAATGCACGACGGGGGTCACTTGTTAGGCCACTTATTCTGGTGAGCCGAGTTCGATTCCCGGCCCTGGCTAACAATCAGCTGGGTCACGGGCATGGCCATGATGAAGCAACCACGTCAAAGCCACCGGGCCATCTCTGCAGTCTAATTGCTAAGCGGTCAGCAACAAACAGCCCTCTCATATATATTATAAGAGCTTGAGTGGGGGGGTTGTGGGTGGGGTGCCGCTAACGGCGGTGGCCACTGTGGGTTTGGTTCTTGCAGCTCTACTACCACGGCGAGGCCATCCAGGTGACGGTAAACATCAACAACAGCTCGAGCAAGCACGTGAAGAAGATGCGGCTCTCGGGTGAGTTGGCGCTGCGCTCTGCTCCGCCCGCGAGACTGAGGAGAGAGAGTGCCCGCGACACAGGCTCAGAATCTGCATTTATCCATAATTACATCCATAATTCATCCATAATACATCCATAATTCAGGTTTTTTTGTGGGCAGGATGGGGATGGTTTCATCAGGCGACAGCCAGATTTGTGGAAAAGTCCACCTGTTTTTTTTAATACTGGAGGAATCCGAGGAGCTATGAAGCTCTTTTTCCACAGATGTCCAGTCGGGGCACGGGGTAAGCACGTGACAACAACAAACGATTACAAACCAACACGATAGGAGTGCAAGGTCCAAGAAATGTAAACAAATCGCCCAAACACAAACAAATTCAACACTAAACCATCCCATCCTACCAGACAAAGCCCACTGAGGCATTGGCTTATTTTTCAAAAGCGACCTGGCCACGAAGGGCAGAGGAGCGACGCTCACAACAACGAGCCGAGCGCCGGGCGGATAAAACACAGCAAGTTGGCACAGTAGGGGGCACACGCGGTGCACCGGCCAGTCATCTCGTTCAGTCGACCCCGTGGCACCTGCTGGGTCTGTCCCGTGGACCTCCTGCCAGCGGGCGTTCGACACCTCACGTGGCCTTAAGGTGCACATAGCCTGGCACGAGCGCCGTGGTGAAGTCACCGTCACTTGGTGGTGAATGGCGGTTGTTGTTGTGCCGTCGACCCGAGTTCGACTCCCGGATCACCCGCTCACGGCCACCAGCACCACCAACACCAGTGACCATTATCTGAGCCGGTTCTGGGCCACCCCTACGTCGACTCAGCCCTCAAATGAGTGTACCTGTTGCGATGTGTAAACATCGACCGCTGGGGAGACAAAGACGGCCGGGCGTGGTGCTGGCCACGCTACCCAATCAAGCGCCGTGCCGTTCTTCACAGGTGCGACTCGCTATCACCACCAATGTCTGAACCGGTCCCTGGGCCTTTCCCGAATGCCGTCTCAGCCTAAAATGAGCACAGTACCACGTGTTGTGTATAATTTGGTATAAACGTCAGCAAAGGCGGCCGGGAGTGGCGTGGTGTTGTCCCACACCGCTGCCTCGCGTGCCGTTTCAAGGCTTTCGTATGGCGCGACTCGCTTACAGCACTTGCCCCCCACCCACCCCCCACCCAGGCCTACAGCCTGCTTAGAGACTATCCGGGTGACCTTTATTTTGTGTGTGTGCGTGCGCGTCTCTGCTGCTGTTGCTGTTGCTGCAGTGGAGCAGATCACAGACGTCGTCCTCTACTCCCAGGACAAGTACATAAAGAGCGTCTGCGTGGAGGAGCCCACGTGAGTGCGACACTTAATCACGCCATCGAGTGCGCAGGCGGTGCAGCTGCGCCCGGGTGCCCCGTGATAAACCCGTGGGCCAACTCTCACGAGGCGGATCGGAAACTGCGTGAAGCAATATCTGGACGGGTTCCAGGAAGTCAGAATTATGCAAATTCGGGAGAGTCGCGATCGACTGAACGCTTGGGCGCGTGGGCGATTACGGAATCTGGATATTTATTCATGCCGCCGGAATCCGATGAGCTGTAAAGCTCACCACCACCGGCGGATTGCTGAGGTCCAATATGATTGATCTGTCGCTGTGTCGGTTGGTGGGAGGGTTGTTCAACGCCCAGATTTGGTCAGAACGTTACGCAGCAGCCTCGAAAACCATCCCTTAATTACGAAAGGCAACATCGAACTGCGACGTAATTGAATCCCGTCCCTCGCGCGGCAGGGACACTGTGGGGCCGGCTAGCACCTACTCCAAGGTGTACAGCATCGTGCCCATGATGGACGTGAACGTTCGCGAGAAGAGAGGAGTGGCGCTCGATGGGAAACTCAAATACGAGGACACCCACCTCGCCTCCACCACAATGTGAGCGCCCCCTATCACCACCACAATGTGAGCGCCCCCTACCAACATCACCACCACCACCACAATGTGAGCGCCCCCTACCAACAACACCACCACCACAATGTGAGCGCCCCCTACCAACATCACCACCACCACAATGTGAGCGCCCCCTACCAACGTCACCACCACCACCACAATGTGAGCGCCCCCTACCAACATCTCCACCACCACCACCACAATGTGAGCGCCCCCTACCAACATCACCACCACCACCCAACCCCCACCACCACCCCACCACCATCCCCACCACCACCACCACCCCACCACCACCATGTGAGCGCCCCCTACCAACATCACCACCACCCAACCCCCACCACCACCACCCCACCACCACCATCCCCACCACTGCCCCACCACCACTACCACCTCACCACCACCCCACCGCCACCACCTCACCACCAACCCCACCACCACAACCCCACCACCACCCAAACCCCACCACCACCACCTCATTACCACCACCACCACCCCCACCACCATCACCACCAATCCCACCACCACCACCCCCACCACCACCACCCCATCACCCCCACTACCACCACCACCACCACCCCATCACCCCACCACCACCACGCCCAACATCCACCGTCTCAGCTCCACATCGCGTCGCGTGGGGCGGAGGATGAGGAGGAGGGCGGTGGGAGGCGAGGGAGCTCTGTGAGCAGCGTGCGGCTGTTGGCTGAGTCGATGTCGTGCACTCGATTCGAGCCGTGGACCTCTGCGACGAGCGCTGCCACCGCCGAGGCTGTGGTGAGCATCTCCTGAAGTGGACGCCCAATCGGTCTGCAGTACCTTGTCCATTGTTCCCTCTCACTGCTGCTGGACAGTCGGCCGCATTTGCTCGGATGTATCATGATGGTAATACTCGTACAAATCATCATAATAATATTAGTCATTCTATAGAGCGTCATGCATTCGCGCGAATCGCCTCCGAGGAAGTCTCAGGAGGTTCGCACTTTGAGATGATCTCGATTCAAAACTCATTTCTTCAGAACAGGCTTTGTGTGTGTTCAGTTCGGTGTCTATCTCCTCCGCCCGCACCTCCGATTGGCGCGGTTGGCTACGTACGGTGCGAACGAAGTTCAACACGCACACAGAGACAAAGATTCCCCCGTGTAGCCTGTAACAGACTGCTGGGGCAAGTGCTGTTAGCGAGCACCTATGAAGGCCGGCACGGCACACGAGGGGGTGGGTGACGAACACCACGCCCGACCGCCTTTGTCTCCCTAGTGACGATGTTTACTACACACCGCACCAGGTAGCTCATTTGATGCCGAGTCGACCTAGGGGAGAGCCAGGACCGGTTCAGATAATCGTCACCGGTGTTGCGCTAACCGCTACACCACCGCTCCACACACACGTGCAATACTGTACATTCATGATATACAGGGTGCTTCAAAAACATGTGAACACTTCGGAGAATTTGCAACAACACCACAAGAAACGTACTGCTCTGGAGATCACCTGGAGAAGATTCCAGGCGTGCGTTGACAACGATGGCGAACAAGTGGGAGACTGTTTGACATTACATTTTTAATCCCAGTGTATTATCCGTTATTTTCCCATTAAAAACGATAGTCCCATTTAAGTGTAGAAAAAAATAATTAAGCACCCTGTATATATTCTTTGCATTCTTTGGTTCTTTCGGTAAAGTAACGTAGGTAGAAAAATAATGATAATAAAGTGAATACAAATAATAAAACGATTAAATAATGATTGCAGTCACGAAAGTTTTAAGTAAAAATTCACCCCGTATATATAAGGGCCTACGACAAAGAGGACCACAATGCACTTCTTCAGGAGCTTGTTGTCCATGGTGGTGCAGAGCGGGCGGAATATTTCGTTTTGCCGAACGCACAAAAAGGCCGAGCGCGCGTCTGAGTTTAACCCCCTCCTCCTTCCCCTCCTCCTTCCCCTCCTCCTTCCCCTCCTCCTTCACCTCCTCTCTAAACCCCTGGGGTTCGGGGTGCGTGGCACAGGTTGGTGGAGGGCATGGACAAGGAGGTGCTGGGCATGATCGTGAGCTACCAGATCCGAGTGAAGATCACCGTGGGTCGAGGAGGGTACGGCCCAGTACCGACTCGGCACACGCGCGCGCGCTTTAACATCGATGTGGAACCGGTTTTCTTGTTGTTGTTGTATTAGAATATCTATTTATTGCTGGGGGAATACGATGAGCTATGAAGCTCATTTTCTTATAGATTTCCAGTCGGGGCACGAGGTAAGAACGTTACCACAACGAACACGATAGTAGTTCAAAGTATGAGAAATGTAAACAAATCACCCACACACACAAATACAACTAAACCATCGCCATCCTACCAGGCAAAATCCCACTGAGCTATTCACTTATTTTGTCAGGAGCGATCTGGGCCACAAACGATCGCTCAAAGAAAGTGGCCCCATCATGTGGACATTCATAGCGCCGAAATAAAACTGAATGATCTCCGTGCAGTACCAGCACGTCACACGAGGGGGCAGCCCCCTGGCGTCACGCGTTCTTCAATTCTCAACTTGCCAGACCATCCGTCCATCCATACTCCTCTTAAGCACCCATTACTTCGCTTGTATCGACCCCGCAAGTAGCGCCTCCCTCCCCCACCACCCCCCCCCACTCTTAACGACGCTCATCGGTTCCACGAACTGCTCGTTAAGTGAGTTGGTCGTTAAGCGGGCATACGAAGTGCACGTCAGAGGCTTTATTTGTTCCGGTAGCATCGGAAGTCACCCACTTGTTCACCCTCCGAAACGTGCTTTATGTTGTTTAAACAATGGATGTTAATGCATAATGAGACCAACAATGTTATACACACGTAATATTAAAATGAACGTGGTGAATAATATAGAAACATGAATTAATATTTACTGTACCTACAACGGCCCGTCATTAACGATCGTCGGAGTGGGTGACAGAGCTTTGGAGCCCTTTTTGCCCCTGCTTCGCCGGATCGGCCCGGGACCGCCGGATAATGTTGGAAGCAGCGGCCCGGATCATTATCGACGATCGACTTGCACATCCCCCCCCCAGAGGCCCCTCTTCCCAACCCCTCTCGGCCCCCAATGTCCCCGTGACATCAGACGCTCTGTAGAGGGCACCGCCCTCTCCAAAAACACCCGGAGACTGGACAAGGGACCCACGCTCTGTCTCGTATTCCACCAACGGTGCCTCTTTAAACGTTGAGTTTGGTCTTTTTTTTTTTCCCCCGTCGGTTTTACCGCAATTCGGAATAAATGTCTCTCCACTTGCTATTTTGGCTTGTCGAGCCCTGCCCCAGAGAACATCACAACTGCTGCAGTGCAAATAGCCGGGGGGTTTGTTCGCTGTGAGACGCTTCGCCGGCACGTGCTCGCTGCTGCCGTGTATCGTCGTGTGTGCTATTTGCCACATTCTGATTGTAAATGTTATTTGCTTTGTTTGTTTCTGCACAGAATTTTGGGAGACCTGGCTGCCAGGTAAGGGCGAAAACCACTTCTTGATTCGTCATTTCACCGAACGCCCCCTGTTTTGTTTTAATGTATACGTGTTTGAAAATTCAAAAAAGGTTTGCTGGCTGGCGGGCGCGCAAATTGCGCGGTGGTGACGTCACCGCGCAACACGTGCGTGATGACGTAACCCACATCCCACAACGTTGGGGGCTGGGTTCGTGCGTGACGATGATGTCACGCCCCCCGCCACCTCCCCCCCGCCACTCCCCCCTGCCACCCCCTCCACCCACCCTTCATCCAGCAGCGGATCGATCATCGGCCATGATCGATCCACTGCTGGATGAAGACCTGCGATGCTGTAAAAGTCTTGGGTACCAAGAATGTTTTGGTTTAACGATGATGATCACTACTACATCTGCGATGAAGTGATTTTTATAGCCCCTTAGGATTCCCCCTGTTGAAATCAACATTCTGATTCCGTCGAGCGATGAGTTATTAGCAATCCTATCATACATTAATATACCACCTTAGCCAAGAGTTGTTCTCATCACTCTCGTTCCCACCTTTGGCTGCCACTCTGGCATTAGTCTTCACCTCCAGCCATCATCGCTTCCAGCGACGCTGCCCCAGCCAAAACCCCACTCGCGTCTTTTATTTTATTTTCTCCGCTTCTTTCTAACGGTCAATATTGTCACTCTGGGTACGACATACAAGAGAGATACAAATCCATAGCACAATGGGGAGGCGGGTGGAGGTTGACGATTGCCCGTGCGTGTTTCCCCAGTGAGGTGTTTGTCGACCTGCCCTTCACACTAATGCATCCGAAGCCAGTGGAAGGCAGTGAGTCACACGCTCGCACACACACACGCACACACACACGCACGCACACACGCACACACACACACGCGCGCACACACACACGCACACACACACGCACACACACACGCACACACACACGCACACACGCACACACACGCACACACACACACGCACACACACGCACACACACACACGCACACACACACACGCACACACACACGCACACACGCACACACGCACACGCACACACACGCACACACGCACACACACGCTCGCACACACACGCACATACACACACACACGCACATACACACACACGCACACACAAAGACAAAGCCCCCCCCCCCCGTGTAACCATACAGATTGTTGGCACAAACGTTGTTAGCGAGCGCCTATTAAGGGTGGGCCGGCCTGCACCCAGCCCGGCGGCGTTTGTCTCCTCATTGCAGAAGTGTACGAACCGCGCCGGCTGCTAATTGTTCAGGCTGAGTTCGACCTTGGGGAGATTTTTGCCATGAGCGGGGATCGAACTCGGGTCACGAACTCCGCAGCGCAGCGGCGCGTCAACCGCTGTCACGCACACGCGCAATGACAAAGCTCCCCCGTGTAGCTACACCGACTGTTGCGGGTCAAGTGCTGTTTGGGGAGCGCCTATCGAGGCTTGCGTGGCACCCATACTGGCTGACGTGACCAGCAGCACCCCCGGCCGCCTTTGTCTCACCATTGTCAACATTTGTGTCCGGCATGCACGCACGTTCTTACTGTCTGTGGAATGTGTCTCGTCGTTTGAGGAATCTCTGCTGATGTTCCACGAATCTATACTTAACGCTGCTATTCTCTGTCTCTCTCTCTCTGTTACAACCGGGAATCAAACCTTACAGTAAAGTAAGTTGCGACACTGTCACAAGTACATATATACACACATAATTTTGTATGAATAAATTACAATAATGGTTCATTATTACATTTGATGCGTGTGCCCTTCTTATTGCGTTAAGGCTATCACCGACGAGTTCCGTTTCATGCCCACGGCGCGCAGCAGTTGCACAATACGGGAGGGGGCGGGGAGGGGGGCCATACCGCTACGTGTGATAACCAATTGAGTATTCGTTTACTTACTCTTTGGTTCTATTCGGTAAAGTCACGTAGGTAAAAAAAATAAAACAACAAAAATCACGACGTTTCGGCCACAACACAAGCGGCCTTCATCAGGTCGTGATTTTTGTTGTTTTATTTTTTTACCTACGTGACTTTACCGAATAGAACCAAAGAGTATGGATCCTTGCAGTCACGAAAGATTTAAATCTAGAATATTCGTTTACTTAGCAAATTCAGACCAATGGCCTGCTCGTTTCGAGTGTAGTATTTCATTGCTGATGCGGCCGCAGTATTAATTTGACGGATTTGTCGCGCTGACGCAAGTGACGTCACCCCAACGGGCCGGCCAACCTGGGCATAGGGGCCGTCCATAAATGACGTCACGCGATTTTGGACGATTTTTGACCTTCCCCCCTCCCCCCTCGTCACACGGCGTCACAAAAAGTCAGACCCCCCCCCCTCAAATATGACGTCACAAAGCTCTGCCCCCCCCCCGGAAATCATATTTCCATTTTGAAAATTAAACATGCTTCAAATCGCTTTAAACTATTGTCATTGTAGCGCGTATTTAACGTGGCGCTGCACTATGATATTGTAGGAGAAAACATTTATTAAACATACTATTTAATTAAGTAGAACGTGTTGTCTATATTTATTTAAAGCTGTACATTTTGATGTGACGTCATATTTCTCACCCCCCCCCCCCACCTCGTCACACATCGTCACAAATGTCTGACCCCCCCCCCCCCTTAGGTGCGTGACGTCATTCATAGACGACCCCATAGGGGCGGCGAAATAACGAATCTAATTTAAACCCACAGAGCGCCGTCACCCAGGGCGTTTGACGATGTCGCTTGCGAGATGGTGACGGAGAACAGAATGACGCAGTTGGCAGGGGCACTGCTACAACGTCATTGAAGATTGAGTGACAGCGATAGAGGGGCGCTTAGGGGTCACGACAAGGGCTGGAGGGGAGGGACGGGAAGGAGTGGAGGGGCGAGGGGAGGGAAGAGGAAGGGAATGGGCGATGGAGAAGAGGTGGCGAGGCTTTAAGAGAGGAACAGAGAGAGGTATAGGAGGGGGACTGCTTCATGTACAAGGGCAGTGTTGAGGCTATGGGCAGTAGTGCTGAGTCTATGGGCAATGTTGAGTCTATGATCAGTGTTGAGTCTATGGGTAGTATTGAGTTTATACTGGTAGGAACGAAGTTGTAAACTGAGTGTACCAGCCTGCAATAGATTAATGTGTCCGTCCGTCCGTCCCCTTTCAATACTTTAACGAAGTGAAATCTCGTGCTGTTGGGTGTAATAAAATTGCGCAAAATTCCAATGTTCCTACCAGCCCACCCTGCAGGGACCTGTTGGGCAGAGTTGAGTCTATGGGCAGTAATGCTGAGTCTATGGGCAGTGTTGAGTCTATGGGCAGTGTTGAGTCTATGGGCAGTGTTGAGTCTATGGAGACAGTAGTGTTGAGTCTATGGGCAGTGTTGAGTCTATGGACAGTGTTGCATCTATGGGCAGTAGTGCTGAGTCTATGGGCAGTGTTGAGTCAAATGGCAGTGTTGGGTCTATGGGCAGTGTTGAGTATATGGGCAGTGTTGAGTCTATGGGCAGTGTTGAGTCTATGGGCAGTCGTGCTGAGTCTATGATCAGTGTTGAGTCTATGGGCAGTGTTGGGTCTATGGGTAGTGTTGAGTCTCCCTCCCTCTCCCCACTCACCACGTCTCTATTTGAGAACATCCAAATATAGGACCACAGAGCTTGGATGGATACAGATCGCTGCCGTGGGACTGGCTGCCTTTCCCGCTCGCCTGCATAATGCCCCACGCTCCACCAAAATCACTCGCTCGCTCTCTCTCTGTGAGCGTAGTTAACAAACTCCTCCCCCCCCCCCCCCCCCCTTATCGATTACAGAGAAGGCGACATCATCATCGAGGAGTTTGCTCGCAACACCTGTGACGGCAAGAAAGAGGTGGAGGATGAGGCGGCCGAGGCCGAGGGGTGACGTCACACCCCCCCCCCCCGTCACGTGACACCCCCTCCACGTGCTTCGTCAGGAGGGGGATGGGTTGCCCGTGTGTCGTCACAATCAAGCCAGCCGTCGATCATCATTATACCTGGAGAATAGTCGGCGTAAAGCAATCACGTGTAGTATTATTATTATTGTTGTTGCCATTAATTAGGAAGCTATTAATGATCAGATTGTATTATTATTATTATTAATCCGCTGGTGTACTTGGGAAGCAAAGCTGTGTGTGCAAGAGGGCGATGTTGCTGCTGCTGCTGCTGTTGTGTCTGTGTGTGATGTCGCCATTGAGTAGCTAGCAGGTTAAGCTGTCAGCATTGGGGGTGTTATTGGTCAATATCACGAATACACTGTATGGAGAACCCGGAGGAAAACCCATGCAGCAGTACAGGCGGGAGGTAGTGGGAGGGAACGTACAGACTCCACACATGGTGGGCGTCAGTCGGGAGTTGAACCCAGGCCCTTCTGGCTGTGAGGCGTGAGTGCGATGAGCACTGGGGTCACCTCGCTGCCCCGTTTCAATTTTTGATTGATTCAGCATCCACCGATTCGCCCTTCTATGGCCTCCTGCTACCATGGTTGCCGCTGCCGTCAGCTGCTTCACGCATCGAGATGCACGCCCATGTTGAGGTGTGGGGCTGTACCAGGCGGTTGGCCTCGCCTCTGCCGTGTTCGTCCACCAATCCTGCAGGTCGCAGCTGGTCACTCACCTCGCAGACTCACTCACTCACTCATCCATTCACTCACACACACGCGGACTCTCACTCATCCACTCACACACACACGGACTCTCACTCATCCACTCACTCACTCATCCACTCACACACACACGGACTCTCACTCATCCACTCACTCACTCATCCACTTACTCACACACACACGGACACTCACTAATCCACTCACTCACTATCCACTCACTCATTCAGCCACTACACTGCAAGTCACAATTACTCACAGACTCACTCACACAGCCACAGACTCTCACTCATCCACTCACCCACCCAACACACTGCAAGTCACAGATGGTCACTCACCTCGCAGACTCACTCACTCACACAGCCACGGACACTCACTCACCCACTCACCCACCCAACACACTGCAAGTCACAATTACTCACAGACTCACTCACACAGCCACGGACACTCACCCATCCACTCACTCACTCAGCCACTACACTGCAAGTCACAATTACTCACAGACTCACTCACACAGCCACGGACACTCACTCACCCACTCACCCACCCAACACACTGCAAGTCACAATTACTCACAGATTCACTCACACAGCCACGGACACTCACCCATCCACTCACTCAGCCACTACACTGCAAGTCACAATTACTCACAGACTCACTCACACACACACGGACACTCACTCACTCACCCACCCAACACACTGCAAGTCACAGATAGTCACTCACCTCGCAGACTCACTCACACAGCCACGGACACTCACTCACCCACTCACCCCTTAGTTCTGCAACTGTGACTTCCAAAAAAATGAAAGTACAGCATCACACGTGGTATCATCCCAGTAACACGTGCTCCAACTCTCACTAAGACTGCGTCTGGGATGTCGCCGCTACGTGTGTGTGTGTCTGTGTTAGTCTTAGTCTGCAGGGCGTGGGACTCTCGCTGTCGCAACGTTACACTATCGGTACAAATAAATGAATAAACAGTGACGCTATAACAACTAATGATTTCGCTGTTAAGGGCTGGACTGTGGTCGATGCAGTGGCTGATATGCGTCAGGTACGTTCCGCGTATTTCCCGATTTGTAACGCGGTGCTAACGTGCCGCTGGGTTTTACTACCGATTACAGGGATTCTTCTACTTACGAGCATTCGACTTACGAACTTTCAGAGACACGAACAAAGCCGGTCCGTATGTCCAGTTGCCTGTTCGGACCGAGAGTCGTAAATGGTGGCATCTACATCTGAAGAACATTAATCACCTGTGGCATCTACATCTACAGGAGATTATGCAATTTTTAAGCCATTCCCCGTGTTTAGTGTACAACGTGTTTGAAATCGACATAAGTAGACTTACGAACACATCGACTTATGGGCAGACCTCTTGAACCTAACTAGTTCGCAAGTAGAGGAGTTCCTGTACTGCTCAATGCATTTAATTAAAGATCAACCTGCTGAATATTTGTGTATGTCCGTATTTGATCGTCTGCAATGAACCATGGGTGGGACCGGTCCTGGGGCCTCCCTTAGATCGACTGAGCCTCAAATGAGTCACAGTGTGTTCCGTTACTAGTTAACACAACACAACTAAACTGTTTTATTATTTTACCAGGCAAGGCTCACTGAGCTATAGACTTCTTTTTTCAAGAAGCGACCTGGCTATAAATAATCTCCATATATATAAAAGGCAAAGTTGTGAATATGTGTGTCTGTTGAAAATGTTTAGCGTACTTCCCGACATGCAACAAACTTGAAATTTGCCATGTGGGTACTTTCCAGACTGTACACCATGCAAAACTTATAAAAATACACTTTTTGGGGGGGGGGAGCTCAATAATGCATATTTTATTTGCACGGCAAGTGAGCTGTGACGTCAAATCTGTCATGTGACCCGCGCATGTGGAAGCATAACGCATTGTAGTGTAGTGGTTAGCGCGCCGCGCTACGAACCCGGCGACCCGAGTTCGATTCCCGCTCACGGCCACCACCGGTGACGATTATTTCAACTGCTCCTGGGCCTCCCCTAGGTCGACTCAGCCTCAAACAAGTAACAGCTGTGGTGTGTGGTGAACATCGCCACTGGGGAGACAAAGGCGGCCGGGCGTGGTGGATCCAAGTTCCGGGCGAAGCCAGGTAGTACAGCTAGTAGACCAATAAAGGTGACGTATCATCACGTGGACATTTATAGTAGCAGTCAAATACTACAAACGCGTCATGTTGATTCTAGACGCGGAGGGAAAAACCGGAGGAGCCAGAAAAAAATCCACGCGACCACGGCGAGAAGACGCCAACTCCAAATATACAGCAACAGGCGTCAGTGCCGTGATCGATCCCACGACCTCCTGTATACCAGGCGAGGTTGTTAACATCTCGCCACGGAATGTTAGTAACAATGAAGAAACAGACTGTGCCTCCATCCCACTAACCATCCCTCTACGCAAAATACAATATGTAAAAGTATTTATGCAGATCTCATCAGCCTTATTGCATCATTTCAATACGAGAAAAGCTCTGGGTCGGTTTTGACATTCAGTGTCTCATCAGCAGTGTCAAAAAATGCTTGGACCATCGGCTCAACACACATAAACTGAACCGGTTTTGACATTCAGTGTCTAATCAGCAACCGGTTTACCCGGCCATCGATGAAACAAACTCCAAAACGTCCGTTTCGGTTCGGGCAACAGCCGACTGATGTAAACCCCATTCACACACAGGCCGCGTGTCCGTTATCACAGAGACAGCTGCGACTGTCGACTCAAAGTGTTTTGGGCTCGAGTGGTGGTGGAGGGAGGGGGGAGATGGCTGGGTGGTGGTGGTGGGGGTGGTAAGATCGCACGTCCCCCCTACTGTGTTCGGGTAACGGTGTCTGTCAATTCTAAATATACCCCCGTGCCACAGGCAGAGAGACAGAGAGACAGAGAAGCCATCGCCTCGCCTCTCGCGGTCGTGAAAACACACGGGAGATGGAGCCTCTGTTGCTGATGATGATGATGATCTGGGCGATCGGCCATCCCGCGGGTAACGAACTCCTCGCATCGACTCGACTCGCGTTGAGACTCCACGGAGCGCGTGCGTCTTTAACCGGGCGTCGCGCGCGATTCTTTCGTACCGTACTTAGGCCAACCGTGCTAATCGGAGGCGAAATGTGTTGTTGTTGTGTGTGAGTTGTTGTTGTTGATAGTCGTTGAGCGATACCCGTCCCTGGGCCTCCCCTAGGTCGACTCAGCCTCAAATGAGTACCTGGTGCGGTTGTGTAGTAAACATCGCCACTCGGGAGACAAAGGCGGCCGGGCGTGGTGGTGGCCACCCACCCCCTCGCGTGCCGTACCGGCCTTCGTAGGTGCTACTCGCTTCGCAGCACTTGCCCCAACAATCTGTTACAGGCTACACGGGGACTCTTTGTCCTTGTTAATAAAAACTGATTTTCTGGTCAAATGATCCACATGGAGGCGGGAGCTCATCTACTGGTCACAGCCCTCAGCCAGTGATGGGAATTCCACATTCCTATGGCGGGGGCGAGGCTATCCACAGGATAACCACTCTTTTGACTTCCCTACAAAGTAGTGCAGTGCTGTACTCAAGTTAAGGATTTTGTCTTAACCATACTTCACCACGCTGGTCACCGCAGGTTGTTCGAGAGGAAGAGCGGAACGGGTTACGTAATCACTTTTTGCACCGATGTCAGCCGTGGTCGGATATCGAACTCCGGTTTTCCCACCTCCACATTGAGACACGCGCAATGTGATGACCCAGATGATTTTCATGCTATAAATGTCCGAATGATGGGGCCGCCTTCTTTGAGCTATCATCTGTGGCCAGGTCGCTTCTGCAAAAATAAGTGAACACCTCGGTGGCCTTTAGCCTGGTAGGATGGGGATGGTTTAATGTTGTTTTTTTGTGTTTGTGGTGTTGGGCGATTTGTTTACTTTTCCTGTACTTGGCACCACTATCGTGTTTACGTAATCGTTTGTTGTTGTAACGTTCTTACCCCGTGCCCCCGACTGAGCAGCTGAGACAAAAGAGCTTATTAGCTCTTCGGATTCCTCCTGCAGTCGACATAATAAACATTCTGGCTCTGAACTCGAAGTCTGCGCTAATGAACTCGGCGGGACTGATCCGGTTCCAGCGGGGTAAAGGCGCAGCACTGCAACGGCCTTCGGACGCCACTGCTGGGGGAAAGTCGCCTGAGCTATCGGGAGTCCTCGACAGCTCCCCCCCCCCCTCCCAAACCCCATCCCCTCTCTCTCGAGTGCTTTTGGCCTACTCTTCCACGTTGGGGATACTTCTTGGAAGTGCCTGGAGTCACCGCCCCCACCCCCCTCCACGCGGTGCATTGCGGGTGGACGTACTTCGACGATGAGGGGCGAGGGAGTGGCAGTTGTTTTTAGACTGCCGCACCCGGAGATCGCGCGCGTGCCCAGCCACCCCATTACCTGCTGCCTGCGCCTGAGATTGCATCTCCAGTTTGAGACGCCGTCGCCCCTTCATTTTCCCTCCTCCCTCCTCCCGCACCTCCACCCCCTCCCTATGCCCTAGGCACCCCTCCACCGTGACCACCCCCTCTACTCCCTCCCCTAGGCACCCCTATACCGTGACCACCTCCCCTACCCCCTCACTATCCCCTAGACACCCCTATACCGTGACCACCTTCCCTACCCCTTCTCCAATCCCCTAGATACTCCTATACCGTGACTACCTCTCCTACCCCCTCCCCTAGACACCCCTCTACCGTGACCACCTCCCCTACCCCCTCACTATTCCCTAGGCCCCCCTATACCCTGACCACCTCCCCTACCCCTTCCCCTATCCCCTAGGCACCCCTCTACCGTGACCACCTCCCCTACCCCTTCCCCATCCCCTAGGCCCCCCTCTACCGTGACCACCTCCCCTACCCCTCCCCTATCCCCTAGGCCCCCCTCTACCGTGACCACCCGTTCCTTATCCCCTCGCACGCGACTGCCATCTAAACAATTTAAATTTTCATAGTGAGCCACCTGGCTGAATATTGCGCTCTCTCTCTCTGCATGCACACAGAGAGTGTAAGAGATGCCTCTCTGTGTGCAGCACTGCTCGTGAGTGGCGAGAACCAAGAAGCGCGACTGTTCAAAGACCTCATGACCGGCTACCAGAAGGCGACGCGCCCGGTTAGCACCCAGGACACGGTGATCGACGTGCTGGTCAAGATGACGCTCACCAATCTCATCTCGCTGGTGAGCTCATGCCGAAACGTTGGCATCGCCAACGCCGGGCGGTGGTGGTGGTGGTAGCGGTGGTAGTAGTGGTGGTGGTAGTGGTGGTAGTGGTGGTGGTAGTAGTGATAGTGGTGGTGGCAGTGGTCGTGGTAGTGTTGGTGGTAGTGGTGGTGGTAGTGGTGGTGGTAGTAGTGGTTGTAGTGGTGGTAGTGGTCGTGGTAGTGTTGGTGGTAGTGGTGGTGGTAGTAGTGGTTGTAGTGGTGGTGGTGATAGTGGTGGTGATAGTGGTGGTGGTGGTAGTGGTGGTGATAGTGGTGGCGGTAGTGGTGGTGGTAATGGTGGTGATGGTAACGGTGGTGGTAGTGGTGGTAGTGGTGGTAGTTGTAGTGGTGGCGCCGCAGCAGTGATGCTTACGTCTCGTAGCGAGAAGTTCCTCGGTTCGATTCCCTACTCGGGCGCATTTGTGCGTAGAGTTTGTATGTTGTACCTCTGTTCTGCAGAGTGTGAGTGGAGTTTGTATGTTGTAACCCTGTTCTGCAGAGTGTGTGTGCATATCCACGAATGTGCTATTAAGAGATGGGGCCTTACCATCAGTACCACAAAAAACGAAACACCTGCCTGGGTATTTTATGTGATCAAACACTCGACCCCCCCTCCACTCCCCATGAATGATGGGGTAGTGAGCTTATGGCCATCCCCAGACTGGCAATGGAGGTCTCACTCCGAATCAGTCTGGCCGCATTATCTTTTCATCGGCTGCGTAACGCTGCTGTGTGGAAGCTACCTGGCCTATCGCTCCGCACGAAGATTCCGGTCTTCTTGGCCACAGTCATGCCCTCCCTTTTCTCTGCTGATCAGTCCCAACTGCCTGGACCCTGATCAGTCCCACCCGACTGCCTGGGCCCTGATCAATCCCACCCAGCTGCCTGGGCCCTAATCAGTCCCACCCAGCTGCCTGGACCCTGATCTGTCCCACGCGACTGCCTTGACCTTGATCAGTCTCACCCAGCTGCCTGGGCCCTGATCAGTCTCACCCAGCTGCCTGAACCCTGATCAGTCCCACCCAGCTGCCTGGACCCTGATCAGTCCCACCCAGCTGCCTGAACCCTGATCAGTCTCACCCCACTTCCTAGACCCTGATCAGTCCCACCTGACTACCTGGACCCTGATCAGCCCCACCCGACTACCTCAACCCTGATCAGTCTCACCCAGCTGCCTGGACCCTGATCAGTCCTACCCGATCTGCGCTGGTTTGAAACGTCCAGGCTGGCCTGCCCATGCTCCCATCGTGAGTTTAACCAGGCTGGATTGTGTGAGGAGCTTGCGAGATCCTTGAGACATCTGGACATCACTCCGATCATCAGCGCTACGAACCTGCACGACTTGAGCTCCGTTCCCGCTCGCGGCCAACGTCGTGATGACTACCCGAACCGTTCCCGGACCTCTCCCTAGATCGCTTCAGCCTTAACTGACTACTTGGTGCTGTGTGTCAGCATCGGCACTGGGGCCTGGCGTGGTGCTGGCTACCCACGTAGTCGTGTGCCGTGCCGGCCTTCATCGGCGTTCACGGGCAGCACTTACCCCAAATGGTCTGTTCAGACTACACGGGGGAACTTGGCCTTTGTCTTTGTGTTCACAGAAAGAGCGAGATGAGATTTTGACAACAAACGTGTGGCTTGAGCTGGTGAGTAGCAATTATCTCTGCGCACACCCACGTGTGTAATTCCGACATCAACATCATCGCCACCGTCGTGAAAACAACTTGACAATTCGTTACCGCTTCAGCACACTGGTTGTGCGTTTGAGAGTTGTGGTGAAACCCACCACCACCTCCTCCTGTTCCTGTTTGGGTCTTCAGGAAATCCTCGAGTTGGGAGTTTCCCGGCCTGGTCGTCATTCGGCTCTGACCTCCGTCAACCTCCACCCCCCCCCCCCTCCACCGTTATCCCCATCAGCAATGGGTGGACGAGCGGCTCAAGTGGGACGAGACCGAGTATGGGGGCATCGACATCATTCGCGTGCCCTCGAAGATGGTGTGGCTGCCCGACATCGTGCTGGAGAACAAGTAGGGGGGGAGGGGGGGGGCACGGCTGTCCGTGCACCTCGCTCCATCTCTCCACCACCACCTCCCCACCACAATCTGCCCCACATCTTGAAACTATACTTGTCGTGGGGACAGACTTCGGGCTGGCGGGCGAGAGTTACAAATGTTCATAATTTATAATGAACACCACCACCACCGCCATCGTTATTATTTGTTATCCGTGACGGCGGCATCTACGCGTGTCGTGTGTGGCTGTGCGCGCGTGCGTGCAGCGTCGACGGCCAATTCGAGATCACCCTCTTCGTCAACGTGCTCATATATCCCTGGGGCCTCGTGTACTGGTTGCCTCCCGCCATCTACCGCAGCCCCTGCTCCATCGTGGTCACCTACTTCCCCTTCGATTGGCAGAACTGCTCGCTCATATTCAGGTGACGACGACGACGACGACGGAAAGATGCGGTTGGCTTCCCTGCCTGCAAAACGAGTTAGGTTTCCAGAAGTCTGTTTCGTGAGTCGATTTGTTCGTAAAGTCCAACTTTTACCCACCCCCCCCCCCCCCCCTGTCGATTTGCAAAACGCGTTGTAACGGCGTGAACACTAAACACGGGGGAACGGCTTTAAAAGATATATGATCTCCTGTAGCTGTAGATGCCACTGGATCTTCACGTTCTGCAGACGTAGATTCCACCACCGCCGCCAACTATTGCACGGCGGTTGAATTTACGTCTCTCGGTCCGAACAGGCAACTGGACATACGGACGAGGTTTGTACCTATGTCTGAATGTTCGTAGGTTGAATGTTTGTAAGTAGAGGAGTACCTGTATTACCTCGTTTGCTGTGTTTAGTTTAATCATCCTTCCCCCCCCGGCCCCCACTACTGTGATTAGCACGATTGGCTGAATATGGTTGGTGCAAAAGAAGTTCAACATACATACTGTACATCGACTCAGAGACCCACATACTTAAACAGAGATCCCTAGACCCACACAGAGACCAATAAACTTACATAGCGCTCCATAGACTTAGACAGAACTCCATAGACGCACACAAAGACCCAAAGACTCCTACAGAGACCAATACACTTACATAGAGCTCCATAAACTTAGACAGCGCTCCATAGACTCACACAGAAGCCCATAGACTCACACAGAGACCCACAGACTCACACAAAGACCCAGAGACTCAGACAGAGGCCCATATACTCACACAGAAGCCCATAGACTCACACAGCGTTCCATAGACTCGTATAGAGATCCATAGACCCTGATTAGTTTCATGACTGACTGGGCCCTGATTAGTCCCCTGACTGACTGGACCCTGATATGTCCCATGACTGACTAGACACTGATTATCATCCTGACTGACTGGACCCTGATCAGTCCGCCCTCGTCGGCGCTCCTGTGAGCAGGTCGCAGACGTTCAGCTCCAAGGAGATCAACCTGGTGCTCACGCTGGAGGACAACGCCACCGTCGAGTGGATTCACATCGACCCGGAGGCCTTCACAGGTCCCGCGCCGCCACCAGCCTCGTGCAAGCGCTTACCCCTTTGTGGCCTGCCGCATTGGAGATCCCCCGTGTGGGAGATCAACTCCGCACCATGCGAAAACACCGCCTGACTAGCGCGCGCCCTATTACCCGCAATGCCAAAAGGAGCCTTACTAACCCTAACCCTTACTAATGCAACCCTTACTAACCCAACCCTTCCTAATGCACCCCTTACTAATGCACCCCCTTACTAACGCATCCCTTACCAACCCATCCCTTACTAACCCGTCGCTTGCTAACGCATCCCTTACTAACGCGCCCCTTACTAACGCCACACTAATATTCACGTGAAACAAACGCCTGGCTGAAGATGCCTTACTAAAAAAAACACTACCTCACTAACGGACGCCTTACTAACGAATGGCTTGTGCGTCCTTCGCACCACCGTAACGTATCCAAACGTGCTCATCGGAGATGCCTCACTCGTATTGAATCTCTCTGTACACCGTGGCCTTACTAACCTGGGTTCAAGGGGGGGGGGGGTAGTGGGCACGGGGTGGGGGTAGAGAGAGGAAGGGGGGATGGAGCGGGGGGGGGGGGGTGACGGGGTGGGGGGTGGGCGGCGTAGCGGTTAATCTGGCGACCCGAGTTCGATTCCTGCTCAAGGCCAACACCGGTGACAATCATCTGAATCGGACCTGGTCCCTGCCTAGATCGACTCAACCTGAAAAAAAAGAGAACCTGGCACGGTGGGTAAACATCGGCACTCGGGAGACAAAGGCGGCCGGGCGTGGTGCTGGCCACCCACCCCTCGCGTGCCATGCCGGCCTTCATAGCTGCTACAAGCTAACACCACTTACCCCAACATTCTGCCAAGGCTATACTTTGTCTTTGGAGGGGGGGGGGGGAAGAGTCGTGGTGGTGGTGGTGGGGTGGGGGTCTCGCTCAGGGACGACGTCCGCCTCCCCCGCCGTACCCCCCCCCCCGCCCGCCCGCCACAGAGAACGGGGAGTGGTCAATCCGCCACCGCCCGGCCAAGAAGATCACCAACGAGCGGTTCCAGCCGGAGGACCTTGAGTACCAGCAGGTCACCTACTTCCTCATCATCAAGAGGAAGCCCCTCTTTTACGTCATCAACATCATCCTGCCCTGCGTGCTCACCTCCTGCCTGGCCATCCTCGTCTACTTCCTACCTGGCAAAGGTGCGCGCGCGCGCGCCCGCCCGCCCGCTCGGCGCGTGAGTGTCCGGCGTGCGCGCGTGTGCACGTGTGTGCGTGCATGTCTGTGTGCGCGTGTGTCGGGAGCGGTGGTGCAGCGGTTAGCGCACTGCGGTGCGAACCCGGTGGTCCGAGTCCGATTCCCCGCTCACGGCCACCAACGCCGGTGACGATTATCTGAACTGGTCCTGCGCCTCCCCTAGGTCGACTCAGCCTCAAATTAATACCTGGTGCGGTGTGTAAACACCGCCACTGGGGAAACAAAGGCGGTCGGGCGTGGTGCTTGGCCACCCACCCCCTCGTGTGCCGTGCCGGCATTCATAGGTGCTCGCTAACAGCACTTGCCCCAACAGTCTGGTAAGGCTATACGGGGTATATTTGTCTTTGTGTGTGAGTGTGCATGTGTGAACCGGTCCTGGGCATCCCCTCAGTCGACTCAGCCTTAAATTAGTAGCTGTTGCGATTGTGTGTAAACATTGCCACTGGTGCCACTGGGGAGACAAAGGCGGCCGGGCGTGGTGCTGGCCACCCACTCCCTCATGTGGCATCGTGTCAGCCTTCATAGGTGCTGCTCGCTAACAGCATTTGCTCCGACAGTCTGTTAAGGCTACACGGGGGATCTTTGTCTTTGTCTTTTCCTCCTACAGCCGGTGGACAGAAGATCACTTTGTCCATTATGGTGCTGCTGGGGCAGACTGTGTTCCTCATCCTGATCTCCAAGAAAGTTCCCGAGACATCTCAAGATGTCCCACTCATCGCTAAGTACGGCTGCCCCCGTTCCCACAAGATATCACAGTCAGAATATTGATTTATACTGTAAGAGGAATCCGATGAGCCATGAAGCTCTTCTTTTACGGATGTCCAGTAAGGGGGGGCACGGGGTCAGAAGGTTACAACAACAAACAGTACACAATCACGATAGGAGTGCAAAAATATATACAGGGTGTTTGAAAACTATGGAACCAATTTCAAAGCAGTATATTTAACGATTGCAACATGTTACAATTACACGAAAAGTTACAAACGGTTTAATGAGTTATCAAGTTTTACTAAACATTTTATAAATGCTCTATGTGCCCTCCTCCTGCTGTATGGACAACATCGAGACGATAGTTGAATTCGCCCCAAACGCCTCTCATCTCAGGTTTCCCTCTGACGTGCGTGGACGCCCTGTGCTCTGCCCCTTACATCAACAGCAGCCCGATTCCTCAAACTGTCGGTACCAACGACGAACGCTCTTTGACAGTGGTGTATCAATGCCAAAACGCCGTTGAAACGCAAGCTGCACCGCAATTACGGATTCAGTCTTGCCGAACTGCAGAACGCAAAACGCCCCTTGTGTTTGCGGGGGTCACCATCTTGCCAATGACTGAGACTAGGGGCTGTTTGTGCGCTGGGGTCACCATCTAGAGAATGACTGAGGCTAGGGGCTGTTTGTGCACTGGGGTCACCATCTAGAGGGTGACTGAGGCTAGGGGCTGTTTGTGCGCTGGGGTCACCATCTAGAGAGTGACTGAGACTAGGGGCTGTTTGTGCGCTGGGGTCACCATCTAGAGAATGACTGAGGCTAGGGGCTGTTTGTGTGCTGGGGTCACCATCTAGAGAGTGACTGAGACTAGGGGCTGTTTGTGCGCTGGGGTCACCTTCTAGAGAATGACTGAGACTAGGGGCTGTTTGTGCGCTGGGGTCACCATCTAGAGAATGACTGAGGCTAGGGGCTGTTTGTGTGCTGGGGTCACCATCTAGAGAGTGACTGAGACTAGGGGCTGTTTGTGCGCTGGGGTCACCATCTAGAAAATGACTGAGGCTAGGGGCTGTTTGTGTTCACTGGGGGTCACCATCTAGAGAATGACTGAGGCTAGGGGCTGTTTGTGCACTGGGGTCACCATCTAGAGAATGACTGAGGCTAGGGGCTGTTTGTGCGCTAGGAGAGGCGTCTCGCGGTAATCATTTGAAACTCTATGCCCGGCCCTCTCTATGCCCCGCCCTCTATATGCCCCGCCCTCTCTATGCCCCACCCTCTCTATGCTCCGCCCTCTGCATGCCCCGCCCTCTCTATGCCCCGCCCTTTCAAGTGGTAAGAGTTTCATTTATGGGCGGTTCGTGGATGCAGAGATACAGTATAGCGATTTCAAATCAGGTCCATCGTTTTCAAACACCCTGTATATAAAGAGAGCTTCAAAAAATTAGTAACACTTACATGGGACTATCGTTTTTAATGTAATAAGAACGGCTAATCCACTGTAACAAGATAACAAATGTTATATTAATAACTTTTAAAAAGTCAAAAGAGAATCCACTTGATCGCCATCATTGTCAACGCATTGCCTGGAATCTTCTCCCGGTGGTTTCCAGAGCCCGGAGGCACATTTCTTCGTGGTATTGAAAATTCCCCGAAGTGTTAAAAAAAAATTTGAAGCACCCTGTGCTAATAAAACTAAGCTGTGTTTTTATTTCATCAGCTATTGCCCCATTTATCTATTAGCTTATTTTTTTAGAAGCAAGCCGGCTACAAAGGACAGCTCAACGAAGTGGGCTTATCATCACGTGCACATTTATAGCCGCCAAATTCTCTAGACCGCGCGATGTTAATTCTAAATGCGGAGGGGATGAAAACCGGAGGACTCGGGAAAAAATAATCCACGCTACCACCACGGGGGGGGGGGGGGGAGAGAGAGAGAGAAAGAAACACCACAAACTCCAAATATACAGCAGGTGTCAGGGTCAGGATCGAACCCACGACCTCCTGTATACCAGGCGAGGAAGTTAACATCTCATAGCCACCGAGATGATGATGATGAGAGAGAGAAACACGCAAACTTCAACTATACAGCACCAGGCGTCAAGGTCGGGATTGAACCCACGACCTCCTGTACACCATGCGAGGTAGCTAACATCTCCTAGCCACCGTGATAATGATGATGATGAGGGAGAGACACGCAAACTCCAAATATACAGCACCAGGCGTCAGGGTCGGGATTGAACCCACGACCTCCTGTACACCAGGCGAGGTAGATAACATCTCATAGCCACCGTTATAATGATGATGAGGGAGAGAGAGACACGCAAACTCCAAATATACAGCAGCAGGCGTCAGGGTCGGGATCGAACCCACGACCTCCTGTACACCAGGCGAGGTAGTTAACATCTCATAGCCACCGTGATGATGATGATGAGGGAGAGAGAGACACGCAAACTCCAAATATACAGCAGCAGCAGGCGTCAGGGTCGGGATCGAACCCACGACCTCCTGTACACCAGGCGAGGTAGTTAACATCTCATAGCCACCGTGATGATGATGATGATGAGGGAGAGAGAGAGACACGCAAACTCCAAATATACAGCAGCAGCAGGCGTCAGGGTCGGGATCGAACCCACGACCTCCTGTACACCGGGCGAGGTAGTTAACATCTCATAGCCACCGTCGCGACCGTAAATGCTGCGGGTTGCACGCCGTCCGCTCCCCGCTCGCAGTGGACGTCGCCGACGATCCCGTGGCGTCGTTCGAAGACCGACGCCACGTGTGCCGACGTCACGGTCCAAATCCCCCCCCACCTCACACAAATAAATAAATACTCCGCAAGTTACTCACGCGTCCCGGTTTGTAACGCCACCCCCCCCCCCCCCCCCCCATTTACTTTTCACCTTTATTTAACCCGGTAAAATAAAAACCTTGAGGGTGAAAACCCTCTTTTGCGACAGGAACCCTTGCAAAAAGTCAGCAAAAATAAATCACCACACCGCATACACACGCACAATACGAAATAGCGCAATACAAAACATTAAAAACATAAAGTCACGTAGAATGAGAATAAAATAATAAATTGATAAAATAAAATAACACAATAATATTCTCACGACGTTTCGGCCACAACACAAGGCCGCTTGTGTTGTGGCCGAAACACAAGGCCGCTTGTGTTGTGGCCGAAACGTCGTGAGAATATTATTGCGTTATTTTATTTTATCAATTTATTATTTTTTTCTCATTCTACGTGACTTTACCGAAAGAACCAAAGAAGATGAATCCTTGCAGTCACGAAAGCTTTAAATCAAAAATTAAAAACATAATTACAATGGCCAATGACATTTTTTCTTCTATCGGAGCTTTGGAATCAGACAGCGGTGCCCCCTTCTCTAGTTCTTAAATCGTCTCTCAACCATTCCAGGACCAAGCATCGTGATGGGAAAAATATTGTTTCCCCAATTTTAAGTCTTTGCCGAAGGACTAAAATGTTATGTCCGCACCCAGCACACCACATCCAGTACACCTCCCGCTACGGGTGTGGCTTACGACGACTGCTCCTGCTGCTACTGCTTGCGTGCCAGCTACGAGTGCTCTGGGCTTTGCTGTCACAGTTCCAATGGGTGCACTTTGTAAATCGACTTCTCTTGTTACGTCACTCACAAATGGGTGCACTTTGTAAATCGAGTTCTCTTGTTACGTCACTCACAAATGGGTGCACTTTGTAAATCGAGTTATCTTGTTACGTCACTCACAAATGGGTGCACCTTGTAAATCGCGTTCTCTTGTTACGTCACTCACAAATGGGTGCACCTTGTAAATCGAGTTCTCTTGTTACGTCACTCACAAATGGGTGCACTTTGTAAATCGAGTTCTCTTGTTACGTCACTCACAAATGGGTGCACTTTGTAAATCGATTTCTCTTGTTACGTCACTCACAAATGGGTGCACTTTGTAAATCGATTTCTTTTGTTACGTCACTCACAAATGCGTGCACTTTGTAAATCGATTTCTCTTGTTACGTCACTCACAAATGGGTGCACTTTGTAAATCGATTTCTCTTGTTACGTCACTCACAAATGGGCGCACTTTGTAAATCCATTTCTCTTGTTACGTCACTCATAAATGGGTGCACTTTGTAAATCGATTTCTCTTGTTACGTCACTCACAAATGGGTGCACTTTGTAAATCGATTTCTCGTGTTACGTCACTCACAAATGGGTGCACTTTGTAAATCGATTTCTCTTGTTACGTCACTCACAAATGGGTGCACTTTGTAAATCGATTTCTCTTGTTACGTCACTCACAAATGGGTGCACTTTGTAAATCGATTTCTCTTGTTACGTCACTCACAAATGGGTGCACTTTGTAAATTGATTCCTCTTGTTACGTCACTCACAAATGGTTGCACTTTGTAAATCGATTTCTCTTGTTACGTCACTCACAAATGGGTGCACTTTGTAAATCGAGTTATCTTGTTACGTCACTCACAAATGGGTGCACTTTGTAAATCGATTTCTCTTGTTACGTCACTCACAAATGGGTGCACTTTGTGTGTTGCCCCCTCCCCCCCCGCCCCCGCCCGCTCCTTCCACCCTTCAAGGTACCTCATGTTCAAGATGATCGTTGTGGTCATCATCGTGGCCAACTGCGTGGTGGTCCTCAACGTGTCCCTGCGGACCCCCAACACTCACAGCATGTCCCAGCGCACCCGAGAGGTGAGCCCCCTACGCTCGCTCACCCGCGACAGCCGCGCCGAGTCTCAAGGTTCGCTGCTCAGGAGGATCCTGCCAAGTTTTTTGTAGTGGTGGGGGAGGTGGGGGCAGGGGTGGGTGGGATATTGCTCCTGCTGCTGTATGATCCAAAATAGAGTCATTGATTTGGCAGGTAATCGCTCTTCGGCTTTGGGATGTTTTTTTGCCCGATTGCAGTTCCACCGTCGGTGTGGGTTTAGCTATGGGAGGAGGGTAATGGGAAAACCCGGAGGAAACTCACGTGGAACGGAGGGAAATAGAATGTACAAACTCCACACACACTCATAAAGGGAAGATCACCCGTGTAACCTTTAACAGGTTATGGAAAAATAAGGATAGATTTTACCCTTTCTGGCTATAAAGCAGGAGGTGTTAAGATGTTCAAACACCAAATCGATACCTTTTGCAAGGAATCAAGTACTGCATTAACAGCACACGGTACTTGAACATGCATACAAACATGCTGTGGAAATACAGCGTGCTTCAAAACAATGTTCACACCTACATGGGACAATGGTTTTTAATGGAAAAATAACGGATAATGCACTGTAACATGATAGCAAATATTCTTGGTTCTTTCGGTAAAGTCACGTAGAAGGGAAACAATAAAATAATAAAAATATAAAACAATAAAATTCTCACGACGTTTCGACTGCAACACAAGCAATCATCATCAGGTGTGAAAACCACAAATGTTCTTGCTGTGGTTTTCACACCTGATGATGATTGCTTGTGTTGCAGACGAAGCGTCGTGATAATTTTATTGTTTTATATTTTTATTATTTTATTGTTTCCCTTCTACGTGACTTTACCGAAAGAACTAAGAATTTTAATCCCTGCAGTCACGAAAGCTTTAAATCAAAATGATAACAAATGTAATGTTAATATCTCCATAAATACAATGAGTCTCCAACTTGTTCGGCATCGTTGTCAACACGTGACTGGAATCTTATCCAGATGGTCTCCAGCAGCGCATGTCACGTGGTGTTGTTGCAAAATCTCAGAAGTGTCTAACAAAATATGTAAGCACCCTGTATATGCATGTTCACCACAGAGTAGTGTGTGTGCTTAATGCCGACTTGATTCCTTGCAAAGGTTTTATATATTTGGCGTTTGGATATCTTCAGGCCTGTTTTGTTGCCAGGAAGGGTAAAACATATTCTTACTTTTTCATACTTTGATACTGGCAGGACAGGTCACAAACCCAATCACCAACGACTCACTCACCCATCACTCACCCATCACTCACCCATCACTCACGACTAACTCACCCATAACTCACCCATCACTCAGCCATCACTCACCCACGACTCACTCACCCATCACTCACTCATCACTCACCCATCACTCACCAATCACCCACGACTCACTCACCCATCACTCACCCATCACCCACGACTCACTCACCCATCACTTACCCATCACTCACCCATCACCCACGACTAACTCACCCATCACTCACCCACCACTCACCCATCACCCACGACTAACTCACCCATAACTCACCCATCACTCACCCATCACTCACCCATCACCCACGACTCACTCACCCATCACTCACCCATCACCCACGACTCACTCACCCATCACTCACCCATCATTCACCCATCACCCACGACTCACTCACCCATCACTAACCCATCACTCACCCATCACCCACGACTCACTCACCCATCACTCACCCATCACTCACCCATCACTCCCGGGGAGACTGACCAATGCCCCAGGATAGTAGCTACCTCACTAAACTAAACCGAAAAGTTTTATTTTACCAGTTGCAAGGCCCACGGAGCTGTGTAGCACTTATTCAGAAGCGGCCTGGCTCTCGCGAGTGAAAGCTCATCACGTGGAAATTCATAGCAGCCAAATACTCTGAACGCGTGACGTCGAGTCTAAACATGGAGGGGATAACCGGAGGGCCCGGAGAAAAATCCACGCGACCACGAGGAGAGAGAGAGAAACCGCAAACTTCAAATATAGAACAGGTGTAAGGGTCGGGATATAACCCACGACCTCCTGTGGACCAGGCGAGGTAGTTAACATCTCCTAGCCACCGTGATGATGATGAGAGAGAAACCGCAAACTCCAAATATAGAACAGGTGTAAGGGTCGGGATATAACCCACGACCTCCTGTGGACCAGGCGAGGGAGTTAACATCTCCTAGCCACCGTGATGATGATGGTGAGAGAGAGACACCGCAAACTCCAAATATACAACAGGTGTAAGGGTCGGGATATAACCCACGACCTCCTGTGGACCAGGCGAGGTAGTTAACATCTCCTAGCCACCGTGACGATGAGAGAGAAACCGCAAACTCCAAATATACAGCAGGTGTAAGGGTCAGGATATAACCCACGACCTCCTGTGGACCAGGCGAGGTAGTTAACATATCCTAGCCACCGTGATGATGATGAGAGAGAAACCGCAAACTCCAAATATAGAACAGGTGTAAGGGTCGGGATATAACCCACGACCTCCTGTGGACCAGGCGAGGGAGTTAACATCTCCTAGCCACCGTGATGATGATGGTGAGAGAGAGACACCGCAAACTCCAAATATACAGCAGGTGTAAGGGTCGGGATATAACCCACGACCTCCTGTGGACCAGGCGAGGGAGTTAACATCTCCTAGCCACCGTGATGATGAGAGAGAAACCGCAAACTCCAAATATACAGCAGGTGTAAGGGTCGGGATATAACCCACGACCTCCTGTGGACCAGGCGAGGGAGTCAACATCTCCTAGCCACCGTGATGATGATGAGAGAGAAACCGCAAACTCCAAATATTACAACAGGCGTCAGGGTCGGGACCGAGCCCACAACCTCCTGCGGACCAGGCGAGCCAGTCAACATCTCACCACAGCGGCGCCCGCTCACCGCACTCGATCGCTATCCTGGCGCACACCAAAAAAACATCAACCCAGCAACGGGTGGCAACCCCAAATGTGCATCTCAACCCCCACCCCCCTCGCCCCGCAGATCTTCATCGAGCTGCTGCCGCGTCTGCTGCGGATGATCGCCGAGGAGAGCGCCGGCGAGCCGGAGCCGGAGGCCGAGCTGGGCTGGCCGGGTGGCCCTCCGATGGCCGGGGACGGGCGGCCGCGACGGCGCAGCTCGCTGGGCCTCATGGTGAAGGCCGAGGAGTACATGATGAGGAAGCCGCGCAGCGAGCTCATGTTCGAGCGGCAGCGGCAGCGCCACGGTCTCACCGGGGCGCTCAACGGTGAGGCTCGCCGGGGCCGGTGACAGCGGGGTTCCTAGGTTCGAATCCCGACGAGGTTGATGGTGGTTGTGGTTCCTAGGTTCGAATCCCGACGAGGTTGATGGTGGTTGTGGTTCCTAGGTTCGATTCCCGACGAGGTTGATGGTAGTTGTGGTGGCTGTGTTCGAATCCCGACCAGGTGATGGTGGTTGTGGTTCCTAGGTTCGAATCCCGACTAGGTTGATGGTGGTTGTGGTGGCTGTGTTCGAATCCCGACCAGGTGATGGTGGTTGTGGTTCCTAGGTTCGAATCCCGACGAGGTTGATGGTGGTTGTGGTGGCTGTGTTCGAATCCAGACCAGGTGATGGTGGTTGTGGTTCCTAGGTTCGAATCCCGACGAGGTTGATGGTAGTTGTGGTGGCTGTGTTCGAATCCAGACCAGGTGATGGTGGTTGTGGTTCCTAGGTTCGATTCCCGACGAGGTTGATGGTAGTTGTGGTGGCTGTGTTCGAATCCCGACCAGGTGATGGTGGTTGTGGTTCCTAGGTTCGAATCCCGACTAGGTTGATGGTGGTTGTGGTGGCTGTGTTCGAATCCCGACCAGGTGATGGTGGTTGTGGTTCCTAGGTTCGAATCCCGACGAGGTTGATGGTGGTTGTGGTGGCTGTGTTCGAATCCAGACCAGGTGATGGTGGTTGTGGTTCCTAGGTTCGATTCCCGACGAGGTTGATGGTGGTTGTGGTGGCTGTGTTCGAATCCCGACCAGGTGATGGTGGTTGTGGTTCCTAGGTTCGAATCCCGACTAGGTTGATGGTGGTTGTGGTGGCTGTGTTTGAATCCAGACAAGGTGATGGTGGTTGTGGTTCCTAGGTTCGAGTCCCGACCAGGTGATGGTGGTTGTGGTGCCTGGGTTCGATTCCCGACCAGGTGATGGTGGTTGTGGTGCCTGGGTTCGATTCCCGACGAGGTTGACGGTGGTTGTGGTGGCTGTGTTCGAATCCAGACCAGGTGATGGTGGTTGTGGTTCCTAGGTTCGATTCCCGACGAGGTTGATGGTAGTTGTGGTGGCTGTGTTCGAATCCCGACCAGGTGATGGTGGTTGTGGTTCCTAGGTTCGAATCCCGACTAGGTTGATGGTGGTTGTGGTGGCTGTGTTCGAATCCCGACCAGGTGATGGTGGTTGTGGTTCCTAGGTTCGAATCCCGACGAGGTTGATGGTGGTTGTGGTGGCTGTGTTCGAATCCAGACCAGGTGATGGTGGTTGTGGTTCCTAGGTTCGATTCCCGACGAGGTTGATGGTGGTTGTGGTGGCTGTGTTCGAATCCCGACCAGGTGATGGTGGTTGTGGTTCCTAGGTTCGAATCCCGACTAGGTTGATGGTGGTTGTGGTGGCTGTGTTTGAATCCAGACAAGGTGATGGTGGTTGTGGTTCCTAGGTTCGAGTCCCGACCAGGTGATGGTGGTTGTGGTGCCTGGGTTCGATTCCCGACCAGGTGATGGTGGTTGTGGTGCCTGGGTTCGATTCCCGACGAGGTTGACGGTGGTCGTTATTCGTTCTCTTTCTCTCTCCCTTCCCTCGTGCTCCTCCCACTGGGCAGGAGCCTCCTGACAAAGAGTTCTTGAGACTCGATGAGGCTCTGCCTGCTCGCTGAACACGTGGAGCGTTAACAATAATAGCAACAACAGCAACCAGGCAGCGGTGACGTCACCACGGCGCCTGTGCCAGGCTAGGTGCACTTCGAGGCTATCACTTGAATGTCGAAGGATCGCTGCTGGCAGGAGGTCACGGGACAGACCCGCCAGGTGCCGTGGGTTGACTGACGTGAGATGACCGGCAGATGTATGTTGAACTTCTTTTGCACCGTACATAGGCAGCCGTGCTAACATGTGCCCCCCGCCCCCCACTGTTACAACTTGTGTGCGGCGTGCGTGTGGAGTACGTGTGGTGCGTGTGGTGCGTGCGGTGTGCGTGTGGTGTGCGTGTGGTGTGTGCGGTGTGTGTGTGGTGTGTGTGTGGTGTGTGTGGTGTGTGTGTGGTGTGTGTGTGGTGTGTGTGCGGTCTGTGTGTGGTGTGTGTGTGGTGTGTGTGGTGTGTGTGCGGTGTGCGTGTGGTGTGCATGTGGTGCGTGCGGCGTGCGTGTGGTGTGCGTGCGGTGTGTGTGGTGTGTGTGTGCGGTGTGTGTGGTGTGTGTGTGGTGTGTGCGGTGTGTGTGGTGTGCGTGTGGTGTGTGTGCGGTGTGTGTGCGGTGTGTGTGTGGTGTGTGCGGTGTGTGTGTGGTGTGTGTGGTGTGTGTGTGGTGTGTGTGCGGTGTGTGTGCGGTGTGTGTGTGGTGTGTGCGGTGTGTGTGCGGTGTGTGTGCGGTGTGTGTGTGGTGTGTGCGGTGTGTGTGGTGTGTGTGGTGTGTGTGTGGTGTGTGTGTGGTGTGTGTGTGGTGTGTGTGTGGTGTGTGTGTGGTGTGTGTGGTGTGTGTGGTGTGTGTGTGGTGTGTGTGTGGTGTGTGTGTGGTGTGTGTGTGGTGTGTGCGGTGTGTGTGCGGTGTGTGTGTGGTGTGTGTGCGGTGTGTGTGCGGTGTGTGTGTGGTGTGTGTGTGGTGTGTGTGGTGTGTGTGGTGTGTGTGTGTGGTGTGTGTGTGGTGTGTGTGGTGTGTGTGTGTGGTGTGTGCGGTGTGTGTGGTGTGTGTGTGTGGTGTGTGTGTGGTGTGTGTGGTGTGTGTGGTGTGTGTGTGTGGTGTGTGTGTGGTGTGTGTGGTGTGTGTGTGTGGTGTGTGTGTGGTGTGTGTGTGGTGTGTGTGGTGTGTGTGTGGTGTGTGTGTGGTGTGTGTGTGGTGTGTGCGGTGTGTGTGCGGTGTGTGTGTGGTGTGTGCGGTGTGTGTGTGGTGTGTGTGTGGTGTGTGTGGTGTGTGTGCGGTGTGTGTGTGGTGTGTGTGGTGTGTGTGTGGTGTGTGTGTGGTGTGTGTGGTGTGTGTGGTGTGTGTGTGGTGTGTGTGGTGTGTGTGTGGTGTGTGTGCGGTGTGTGTGTGGTGTGTGTGGTGTGTGTGTGGTGTGTGTGGTGTGTGTGGTGTGTGTGTGGTGTGTGTGGTGTGTGTGGTGTGTGTGGTGTGTGTGCGGTGTGTGTGGTGTGTGTGGTGTGTGTGTGGTGTGTGTGTGGTGTGTGTGGTGTGTGTGTGGTGTGTGTGTGGTGTGTGTGTGGTGTGTGTGGTGTGTGTGGTGTGTGTGTGGTGTGTGTGGTGTGTGTGTGGTGTGTGCGGTGTGTGTGTGGTGTGTGTGTGGTGTGTGTGTGGTGTGTGTGGTGTGTGTGTGGTGTGTGTGTGGTGTGTGTGGTGTGTGTGTGTGGTGTGTGTGTGGTGTGTGTGTGGTGTGTGTGGTGTGTGTGTGGTGTGTGTGTGGTGTGTGTGGTGTGTGTGTGGTGTGTGTGGTGTGTGTGGTGTGTGTGTGGTGTGTGTGTGGTGTGTGTGGTGTGTGTGTGGTGTGTGTGTGGTGTGTGTGGTGTGTGTGTGTGTGGTGTGTATGTGGTGTGTGTGTGTGGTGTGTGTGGTGTGTGTGTGGTGTGTGTGGTGTGTGTGTGGTGTGTGTGGTGTGTGTGTGGTGTGTGTGGTGTGTGTGGTGTGTGTGGTGTGTGTGCGGTGTGTGTGGTGTGTGTGGTGTGTGTGTGGTGTGTGTGTGGTGTGTGTGGTGTGTGTGTGGTGTGTGTGTGGTGTGTGTGTGGTGTGTGTGGTGTGTGTGGTGTGTGTGTGGTGTGTGTGTGGTGTGTGTGGTGTGTGTGTGGTGTGTGCGGTGTGTGTGTGGTGTGTGTGTGGTGTGTGTGGTGTGTGTGGTGTGTGTGGTGTGTGTGTGGTGTGTGTGTGGTGTGTGTGTGGTGTGTGTGTGGTGTGTGTGTGGTGTGTGTGTGGTGTGTGTGGTGTGTGTGTGGTGTGTGTGGTGTGTGTGTGGTGTGTGTGGTGTGTGTGGTGTGTGTGGTGTGTGTGCGGTGTGTGTGGTGTGTGTGGTGTGTGTGTGGTGTGTGTGTGGTGTGTGTGGTGTGTGTGTGTGTGTGTGGTGTGTGTGTGGTGTGTGTGTGTGGTGTGTGTGGTGTGTGTGTGGTGTGTGTGTGGTGTGTGTGGTGTGTGTGTGGTGTGTGTGTGGTGTGTGTGTGGTGTGTGTGTGGTGTGTGTGTGGTGTGTGTGGTGTGTGTGTGGTGTGTGTGGTGTGTGTGTGGTGTGTGCGGTGTGTGTGTGGTGTGTGTGGTGTGTGTGGTGTGTGTGTGGTGTGTGTGCGGTGTGTGTGGTGTGTGTGTGGTGTGTGTGGTGTGCGCAGGCTCCGACGGCGTGAACGTGGGCACGACTCCGGAGCTCTTCAAGAACCTGTCGCAGTACGGAGCGGAGATTCGCTCCATCGTCGACTCCTGCAAGTTCATCTTCGAGTGCATCCGCGACCAGAACGACCTCGCCAGCGTGAGTCACCGACCCCGCCACCCCCACTTCTCTCCCCCCGTCCGAGGCGACCACTAAACTAAACTGAAAACTAAAACATGTTTTTTTTCATTTCACCAGGTAAAGCCCATTGAGCTACGTAGTTTATTTTTCAGAAGCTACCTGTCTCTTACGAGCGATAACCCAACGAAGTGGCTTATCGCGTGGAAATGTAGAGCGGCTGCTTTCTACGTCGGTATTACCGTTTTACGCAGGAAAGCCGAACGGAACGGTTAAACACAATAACACAACGCAGGGCGGTTCAGGTCGTAAGTCGGGCGTGTTCGTAAGTCGGGGACTGCATGTTATGTTTAATAACGTATCCGTGGGTCCGGGGACACCGCTAAAAGAGAACTCGCCATTTCGGGAACGATCTCTAACCTGCGGGTGGCTATGAGATGTTAACTACCTCGCCTGGTATGCAGGAGGTCGTGTGTTCGATCCCGACCCTGACGACGCCTGCTGCTGTATATTTGGAGTTTGCGTGTTCTGCTCCCTCCGTGGTCGCGTCGCATATTTCTCCGATGCCTCCCCCCCCCCCCCTCCACATTCAGCAGAATGGACGTCACGCGTTCAGAGTATTTGTCTGATGCTATCAATTTCCACGCGCTGATGATGCTGATGGTCGTGATGATGATAAGCTGTTGTCATTTGTGATAGTCAGGTCGCTTCTGAAAAAGAGCGACGTAGCAGCTCAGTTTCAACACGTAGCAGGCATTTGCGTACCAATATTATTCATGATAAAGTTTTTGTAAGTGTATAAATGTTGTGTCGCAACCCTCCACCAAACCGGCACGGCCAGTAAGCTTTGTGACGTCGACAACGCGCCAATCAGTTTACTCCTGCAGCCCACCGGTCCGTTGGAGAAGTAATTGTAGCTGTCGTGGATTTACTCCCCAACAACACGCCGGTGGGCTGAAGGAGTAAACTTATTGGCGCGTTGTTTACGAAGCAGCTCAGCGGGGCCTTACCTGGTGAGATAAAAATAAAAAAACGTATGGTTAGTCGGTGCGCTATTGTCCCACGCCATCAAATTGTTTTGACTTTAAACTTTCGTGGCTGCAGGAATTCATGTTCTTTGTTTTTTTTCGGTAAAGTTACGCAGATAGAAAAGCAAACGAAAATTAAAATGTTTAAATAAAAGCAAAACACAACGACGTTTCGATCGCAACACAAGCGGTCTTCATCAGGTGGAGAGAAAAGAGGGGGCAAGCCCTCCAAATCGTGTTTTTTTCTTTTATTGTTATTATTATTTTAATTTAATTTTATTTAAATTTTCTATCTACGTGACTTTACCGAAAGAACCGAGAATATGAATATCCACACCATCACTTTCCGCTGCATCCCTTTCCACCCCCACGCCACCGCGCCCTCTCCCCCCCCCCCCCCCCCCCCCCACCGTCTCGTGTTGTCGAGCTAACGAGGGCCCCGCCACTCTCCTTGCAGGAGAACGACGAGTGGATCCTCATGGGCCAGGTCATCGACCGCCTCTGCTTCTGGCTCATGAGCATCCTTATCCTGCTGGGCACGCTCAGCATCTTCCTTATGGGCCACCTGAACGCCGTGCCGCTGCTGCCCTTCCCCGGAGACCCCAAGACATACACCCCCCCGTAGGGGGACCGCCACCCCCTGCACACCCCCCTCCCCCCAACCCACTCCCGGCCACACACACAAAGACATAGATCCCCCGTGTAGCCTGTAAGAGACTGTTGGGGCAAGTGCTGCGTTGCGAGTGGCACCTATGAAGGGAGGCACTGTGGCACATGAGGTGGTGAGTGACCATCACACACAACAACAACAACAACCACCGCCATTCGCCATCTTGACACCGCTGGTACCAATCATCGGCAAGTCCACTCAGCTCCACATCCTCCTGTGCCACATCACTCCATCTCTTCTCTAGCCCGTGCCGCGCCTATTTAGCCCCCTCACAGACACCCCCACACACGCTCCCACACGCACACCCCCACGCACACCCCCACACACCCCCACGCACACCCCCACGCACACCCCCACACCATCCCGTTCCTGGTTTCCCACCCCGCGCTCACGACAACTCCCGTTGGTGTTGTCCACAAGAGGCCGCTGCGCGCGCCTTGTTGGCGAGGCTCGCTCCCTCCACGCGTGTGGCTGTCGTCGGGTGGTGGAGGGCTTCGTGAGGGCACCAATTCGGTCTCGGATCACCACGTGGCCTCGCCACCAAATAGTCCGCTAGTATAGGCCACGAAACTTGTACGATTCGTAAACTTGACGTATTATCCGTCACGAGTGCGCCTAACACAATCAGCACCGGTCGTTTTTATTTTTAAATAAATTCTTAATCGACCTACACGCGTGCTTTTGTGTCGTGCAACCCCTCCGCCACCTCGCGCAAGTCGACCGCACAAAAAGATTCCGGTTGCCGCGGGAGCTTTCGACAGACGGGATAGCGTGACGCCAAGTAGCGCATTAAATCATTTATCCACGCGACAACACGTGGATTTGTCTTGAAAACCGAAATCGCGTCAAGGGGTGTAGAAAACGAACGTCTGGGATCTGCGTCAGGAGGCTTCGATGAACGTGGCCACGAGGAGGCCGCGATGCTGCTACGCTCGGCCATCGACTGTGCGCTCACCGTCAGAATCAATCACCCTTGAGGAAATCCGATGAGTTATAAATCTCTTACCCCCCCCCCCCCCACACACACACACACAGACGTTCCAGTAGGGAACGGGTCGGCAAGTTACAACAACATCGATAGGCGTACGACGTAGAGATTTTCTTAAACAAGTTAATGTGCAGTGCAGTCGGTTCTCATTCGCCGCGGTAGTAGCAGCAGTCGTAGGATGAAACATAGGAAACGGTTTTAGCCTTTCTGGCAATACAACAGGACGCGTTGAGACATTCAAACACCAATCAGAAGCCTTTTGCAAAGGAATCAAGTCCGCGGACTTGTGGTGAACATGCAAACCAATACGTGGCTCTGATCATTAAATATGATGCATTGTCTTTTAAACTGATTGGTCCACACCAGATACAGCAAACGCATTAAATTTCGATTTAAAGCTTTCGTGACTGCAATGATTCATCTTCTCGTTCTACGTGACTTTACCGAAAGAACCAAAGAAGAGCAACCGCATTCTTTGTGGCCTCGTCCGGCCAGTGTCAGACCAGAGGAGGCCACAAGGCGAACAGCACAAAGACAAAGCACTGCCATCATAGCATTTATAGTTCGGGGTGAGCAGCCATATCATGGGGACCTTTTTTTGTGTCAATACAGTCGTGGCCGATGCGTTCCTCGAAGTTGCCACGTTCACCGAAATCAACGTTAGCCAGCCATGGCCTGGGATCGAACTGGGCTCGCCGGGGTTCACGGCACGGTGTGCTAACCGCTACCCTCCCCCTTACCCCACCCAAGTGGAGACCCTTCAACCAGCAGTGGCGAGAGCGCAGGGGCTGCGCCTTTAACTTCCCACACGCGTCTTGTTGTTGGAGAAGGGGTGAAATGCCCATGAATGGGCTTAGGGGCATGGTAACGGAGACTCCCCGATTAAGGGGGTGAAAGTTTTCCATTCATTCATTGAACTCACAACCCCCCCCCCCCGGGATCACGCCGGGGGTCTTCTGGAGAGGGGGCGGGGGGAGCGGGGGTTAGGATGCGTCGGGTGGAGATGAATCGGGAGAATTCGATGATTCGCTCTCTCGCTCAAACCTTTCAACAGACGACCCAATCAGCCGAGCAAGTTGCTAGGGGAGTCCTCCCCCCCCCTTTAAACCGGGTTTAAACGGAACAAATAAATATATATAAACAACACCACATAACCACAGCAACGAACGGCAACAAAAGAAAGAGACACAGACGCAGCGAGAGCGGGAGAAAGAGAGAGCGAGCGAGCGAGAGAGAGAGGGAGGGGAGAGAGAGAAAAAGAGAGAGAGAGAGGAAGAGCCAAAGTTGTCAGCCGCTAGAGATTTAGCGCGCCGCCCGATGCACGCCATCACGAGCCAGCCCGCTCCCTTCGGGCTCCTCGAGCGTGAGAGGCACATCGAGCGGCTGCTGCGGTGCGGGCCGCGCAGGAGGGCGCGGGGCACGGCGCGGCGGGGCACGGGGGCAGACCGCAGCCTCAGCACGACTCGCATCGCTGAAGATGACTTCGAGGAGCAGGAGGATGGTGGTGGTGGTGACGGGGAAGGTGACAATAGGCGCGGCAGCAAAGGTGGAGAGGTTGAGAGCAGCTTCGGATGGGGCGAGCGACGATGCTGGGCTTGTGCGCGTCCCCTCGGTGGTCCCCTCGGTGGCCCCCACGGTGGCTCCCACGGTGGCCCCCTCGGTGGCCCCCACGGTGGCCCCCTCGGTGGCCCCCACGGTGGCTTCCACGGTGGTCCCCTCGGTGGCTCCCAAGGTGGCCCCCACTGTAGCCCCCTCGGTGGTCCCCTCGATGGTCCCCTCGGTGGCCCCCACGGTGGCCCCCACTGTGGCCCCCACTATGGCCCCCACTGTGGCCCCCACTGTGGCCCCCACTGTGGTCCCCTCGCCGGCTGTCAGGGTGATCCCACGGTGCACACGAGGCAGCCGGCACCCGCGAGGGGTCCCACGGCTCCGGGCCCCCTTCTCCGCGGCTCCCCGAACGCGGTGGCCCCGCTGTCTCAGCTCCACGAGGAGGCGATGCGGGTCGCCTGTCCCTACCACCATCACCACGCAGCAGCAGCAGCAGCAGCAGCTGCAGCAGCAGCATCACCAACAGCATCAGCGGTAGGAAGAGCAGCAGCAGCAGCGCCAACAGCGTGGACAACAGCTGTACCAGCAGCATCACCAACAGCATCAGCAGCAGCGCCAACAGCGTGGACAACAGCTGTACCAGTTGCAGCAACAGCAGCAGCATCGCCAACAGCATCAGCAGCAGCAAGAGCAGCAGCAGGAGCACCAACAGCGTGGACAACAGCTGTACCAGCAGCAGCAACAGCAGCAGCATCACCAACAGCATCATCAGCAGCAAGAGCAGCAGCAGGAGCACCAACAGCGTGGACAACAGCTGTACCACTTGCAGCAGTGCGCTTAGAGAGGGAGAGACATTTGAAGGAAGCTGTCACTGCTCCTCTTCATCCTCCTGCTGCTGCTGCTCTTCCTGCTGTTGATTATTCTGCTGCTGCTGATGATGATGATGTTGCGCTGTCGTCACCACCCCTGGGCCCCCCGCCGTGGCTGTGGTACCCGGAGCGGTGCCAGGAGCGGTGCCTGTGCGGGGCCGCGCTGGCACCACCGCCCCTCGGGCCCCTGGCGGAGGCCGAGCGCGTGGTGATCGTGCGCGACGGCACCGCGTGCGGTGAGATCTCTGCTGCGACGTCTCTGCATCATCATCATCAGCTGCATCATCATCAGCTGCATCATCATCAGCTGCATCATCATCAGTAGCAGCATCATCATCAGCTGCATCATCATCAGCTGCAGCAGTAGCAGCATCTTCAGCATCATAATCAGCATCATCATCATCAGATGCATCATCATCATCATCATCAGCTGCATCATCATCATCAGCTGCAGCAGTAGCAGCATCTTCATCATCATAATCAGCATCATCATCAGATGCATCATCATCATCAGCTGCATCATCATCATCAGCTGCAGCAGTAGCAGCATCTTCT